ACGAACCACTTAACATTAAAGTTTAAACAACCACTTTAAAGTATATTTTCTGTTCCATAACTTAAAACGGATTTTAAAATCTATAGTATATAATAGTTTTGAATAAAAGTGCAGAAGTTTTCCCATTAAGCTTAAAAAGGATCTTCTAGATGGAAACCTCTTTGCGCTTTAAGCTATTTAATTATGTCGGTGTTCGCTTTTTATATAAGTAAAAGCACAAAGGATAATAAACTAAAAATGTTAAAGGTCTAGCCGGTTGAGTTATACATATCTCCTTAGCGGCTGTTGCAAGCTTAAAGTTGCCTTTTGGTTTTTACAACCCAAGTAGTGGAGTTTTGGGACCAAGTATCCATTCGGGCCAGAGAGCAACCCAAACGGAACTCAAACCCAGGAAAGTAGGGCAAAAATCGCAACTTGGGCAACAATAAAGACGTTGACTGTGCGATGCTCGTTAGCCGAAAAGTAGCTTCAAGTATATCTCATGTTTTTATGTGCACACAGGCACACATATATCCTTTGTCTTATCCTTGTGTACCGCTTCTTTTTTTTTCTTCCTTCCCGGTAAGAGTCTAAGAGTCGGTCGGGCATATTGATTGCCTCAATAAGAGCAACGCCGGCAGAGAGAGATGATGGTGTGCCCCCAGATTGATGGAGTGGATTTGTGTGGTAATGCGTATGGAAATAAGAGTGGAAGTGGTAGGGAAATGATTGACAAGCGTTTGTGGTTTACTCGCTAAAAGCTCATTACATTCTGTTTTGCTTTCGTAATTCGATAGGTGCATTGTGTTGAGCATTCGGTTGATTAGTGGTTGATGTTAAACATTTAGTTACGCTTATGGATTGTCAGCCTAAGTATTTCCTTTCCTTACATATTGAAAGTAAAGATTAAATCTTTATATACAGTTCCTTAGCTTGACCCATTCAATCGTGTTTACGACCTAATTACAATTGAAAGACAGTTATCATCATACCATTACTTAATACTTAACAAGAATCCATGCCATCAGACCTCACAAATGTCCTTTTATAGAAAGCCATTGCCTGTGGTTCGCTGATTCCTTTTAAATTGTAATTAAATTAAAATACATTTTCAATGACTCACTGCATCCGAATGGGAATCCACGGAAAGCTCCTGAGCTGCGCCATTCAAATCAGCTTATCGCACCCAACTGAATCAGACCGCGGACCGTGACCTCGTCCGTCTTTCCCCGGACTGTCCGGTTTTTTCCCAGCGCGTTCACTTTGTGTCCTGGTCGCATGTATCTATCTCTCAGCTGGATGCGAGTCCTGCGGATGTGGATGCGAATGCGGATGTATACAAAGGATGTGTGTGTGTGGGAGTCAGTGCTTCCTCATTCTGTATCCTGTGCGGAAAGTTGCTACTGGCAGTGCTGCTGTGTTCTGCTGTGAGTGCCTGGCACTGGTGTGTCATGCAAAGGACCAAAAGTAAACGCACTTAAGCACACACTAACACCAGCAGCCAGGCTCAAACTCGAGCGCACCCAGTCACACACACACACACGCTCAGTGAGAGCTCACCCGTTGAAAACATTGTAAACTAAATGTTGTTTTATACACCACTCACTCACCCACACAGCCATAATTTACTCTGCTTGCTTTATGGCTGCTTTAGGGTGTGTGTGTTTGTAGGTGTACCCCTTAATGAAAGGATATACTCAATTTATGTGTAATTCTGGCACAGGAAGAAATAAACGATATAGACCTATCCCTATATTTACAAATACATTTCGGAGAATATATTAAATATTGTTTAATATCTTATATAATGCTATTATTTTAATATTAGATTATAAATTTAAGAAATTTCCAGTGATTTGATAGTTTGAATTAAAATATTTGCAATCCTCTTAGCTCTGTTGACAAGTATATCAATTATTTATTACATTCTGAGGAATTGGAGTTGGTAAATAAGTTGGATTATAAAAGTCCCTGAAAAGAGCTAACATTATGCAAAACAATTTTACATAGCATAAAAATACCAATTTATTGAATTCGGTATCATAAATACATACTTTTACACCCTTTTTGAAGGGGCTCAACAAATGTTTAGTGATTTGAGGAGCATCCGAAATTACCTTCTAATAATGAGTATCATCTTAGTCGATCAGCTTATAGTTTGCATTCTTTGCTGGATTTTTTCGTGTCTTATTCATTCATTCACGCACTCAGTCCGACAGTGAGCTAGTCAGCGAAGGACTTTGGCTTTGCCGCTGCCGCTGTCATTGCCGCATTGCTCATACGCTCAGTGTGCTCTCAGTTATCCTTGCGCGCTGTCAACGCATTGTTGTGGGCGCCCGGCGCCTGGCAGCTGCCGCCCGATCCCTATCGCCTGCGTTGCCATACGGTTAGTTGGTTAACAAAAAAAAAAATATATATTATTGTGAAAGATTAATTTAATCTTCGCCTTTTCGGGCGATTTTCAACCGCGCGCCGTTTCTGCGGTTGGTTTCAAAGTGTCGTTTTGTGAGTGCGCGTGAGTGAGTTCTCTCCTTTCAATTGGATGGCAATTTCAATTTCATTTAATTTCGCTTTTTTCATGCTGTCTGCCGTATTTTGATTTCGTTTATATACATTTGTCGCTGCATTCCCTAGCGCGTAAATTGAATTTTCACACGTTTTTGTCCTGGCGTGTTTTTTCCCTTGAAAGGGAGAGTGAGAGAGGCATTCGAGGCAGGCCATTAATTCGCAAAAGTCATATAAAAAATTAAATTTTTTTTTTTTTGGGGAACCCTCGACACAAATATAAATGTATACATTGGGTAAAGGAGAAGAGCCTGTCCCATTGGCGGTTGCTCGGTTCCTGAGCCGAGAGCCCGGCCAAAACAAACAGACAAAAATCGATAAATTTCAGGAGTTATTTACAAAAGCTAAACGCTTTTTTCCCCGTGGTGTATGTGGCCATTGTGTGTGTGTGTGTGTGTGTGTGTGTAAGTGAGTGTGCCGGCCATTGGGGCATTTCATTTCAATGGTCAGCCCAAGGACGCGACTCGCAGGACATGAGCTCCTGCCTTGTCTGTCGTCATCAATGCTGCACACGACAGCCAACAAATCGAAACGCATAAACCCGAAAAAATCGTGAATTTGTCCACCGAAAGGGAAGCCGATTTTGAAATTCTCTGAAAGTCAAAGGGTTCGACAATACATATCTCATTGGATTTGGATTAATTCGTTGGATTTTATATACAGTTTATTTGTATTATAATATGGTACTTGAAAACTGCTCAGAAATGTACAATAAACTAATGTATTTTAACAGAATTCCGACAATTAAATAAATATAATTTTTAACAAGTCTCAACCTATGAAAATACATTGGAAACAATTAAAAATCTCTTGAATCATTATCAGAGTATATATTTTTTTTATTCTGTCACACTCTTTGAAATCCCATTGGCATTCCCCTTTCAATGAATAGCGTTTACTCAAAGTAAGGGAAGGACTCACTCACAGTCCCCGAGTAGCCTGCAAAATCCAATCAAGCTATCAGCCCCTCTTCCTTTCAATCTCCACCTCCATTTCCATTGCCACCTCCAGCCCAATCCCAGCTTCAATCTCCTTTCGTCCATTTTCCTCGGGTTGTGATTTCATTCCTGAACATTTCCCCCCTAGTATTTTATTTTTCCGCTATCTTGGAGCCTCGAAAAGAAAGGAGCCGCGCTCCCATCTCCAGCATAAGTGTGGCAATTATATTTTTATTGTTTCTGTTGCCAAATTGTCTAGCAAAAATTGTGATAGCCGCCTTGGGCAGCACTTGACTTGAATGGCGAAATACCGTCCAGCGCCGGAGGAGATTGGATGAGTTAAAATCCCGGGAATGGGAGTTAAATGTGCGCAATGAGTAGCAAAAAGATAATTAGATTTCGAGCATCGATTACGATTTATTTTTCACTTGAGGGAAACGATACCTTTTAGATATAATTAGTAAATATTTGAAATGAATTATATTAAAATAGATAAATACAATAGATTTCTGTAGAAAATTTATCCAGGCATCATTGTCAAGCTTAAGCATAGTTGTAGGAGTCGTGTGTAAAATTCAATTTTCTATTAAACAAACTTTTCAATTAAATTTCCCTTGAAATTCAAATTGCATCCTTTAAGGCTTTAATTGAGCCATTAGAGCAACATTCTCCATTAGCTGTTGCAACATTTTTCTATAGTATTTATCGTAAAGTTTATATAATGCTTGTTGAGGCTTACACAAGGATTCAACTTTTGCTCCGTGTCTCCTGCCCATTTCAGGACCCGAGCCTGACCAGCCTGTTCCTGGTCATAGGAGGAAAACTTCTTGTGTGAGAGGGAAACTTGGCTCATTAAATTTTCATTGTTTTAATTTGCGCCACGTGAAAAGCACCCATCTGTGGGGCAAGAAGGCGGATGGCAGGACGGGCATGGGTACTCCGTGGTCGAGAGTGCGGTCCGGTGGCTTGAGTTTTCTATGTCGACGTGCCTGGGCAGAGGAGATGTGGGCGTCATTGGTTTCTTTGGTTTCCAGAGTTAAAGTCGCCACGTTTTACGACTAATTTGGCTAATTTGAGAGCACAGGCTGCTGCTGCTGCTGGTAAAATCAATCTCAGTCAATTAGGCCAAACAAAAGGGCGTTTTTCCCTTTGCAACTCCTAACAGTTCAACGGAGCATTGTAAAGTTGGTTCCATTCAGAACGAAAAAAAATGAATTCTTTTTTTGTTTATACAAATTACACTTTTAATTAAATTCTTCGGCTCGTCCTGTGCCAAGTTTCAGGAACTTTCTGCCTTTGCAGTTGGGTGGACTAATTAAAAACAGCGTAATGGAAATAGCAGTCCGTTGTCCGGGCTGCACATTTAATGCTCCGCGAAAGAGATTTTGTAAAACTTTAAATGCTTGGAAATTCGTTTGATCTTGTGGCAAATTGTTATTAACTAGCAAATGTTGTTGTTGTTTGATTTTAGTTTGATATCAAAAGTACCTACTTTCATAGACCTAATCAATAGCACATTTGCTTTCAATGTTATATCAAAATTGAGACGAATATTTGGGTATTTAATAGTCATTTTTTATGAAAAATGTCCCAGGATATTGAGTCATCCCTTGTGGCAGTGAGAAATGTAAGAAAGGGTTTAATATTGGTAGTATTTATATTATTGCTTTACAATCTACATATAGAATGTGCCTGAAGCCGTTAACCAGACTAGGATTACTCACCAAACAACTGCAAAGATGGTTATTTCGTCAGAAAGTTGCCATGAGTACAGTGGAGCAATATTATGATCCACCCGATAAATCGGAGGGCGATAAGAAACAGTATCGTGCATTGAGTCTAACAAATGGACTTCGGGCTATGCTAATATCGGATCCCAAGTCGGTAGAGGTCCGGCCGGAAGCCAGTGATGCCAGCATGGGGTCCTCACTGGAGCCGTTTCAGGGTAAACTAGCTGCCTGCGCAGTGCTTGTGACGGTGGGATCCTTTAGTGAATCGCGGCAGTTTCAGGGATTGGCCCACTTCCTGGAGCACATGATCTTCATGGGCTCTGAAAAGTTTCCAGCTGAGAACGCATTTGACGCATTTGTAACCAAGAGCGGGGGCTTCAGTAATGCGCATACTGAGAATGAGCACACGTGCTTCTACTTTGAAGTGGAGGAGGACCATCTCAATAAGGCCATGGACCTCTTTATGAATTTAATAAAGGCCCCACTGATGCTTCCCAATGCAATGGAGCGTGAAAGGTCGGCCCTGCAGTCGGAGTTCGAGCAGACCCACATGCGGGACGAGGTCCGCAGGGACCAGGTCTTTGCAAGCTTGGCCAATGAGGAGTATCCACATGGCACCTTCAGTGGGGTAATTTGAAATCTCTTCAGGAGAAAGTCGACGATGCCACGTTGCACAAGGAACTGCATTCGTTCTTTCGAAAGCATTACGGGTCTAACCGCATGATAGTGTCGATTCAATCGGTGCAGCCTTTGGACGAACTAGAAAAATGCTCCTACGGCATTGCGGAGATATACAGAGAAGCGAAGAGAATGCTCCCGACATGTCCATGTACGGCTACCAAGCCGCCTTTCAGGAGCAGTTCTTCAAAGACGTACTCCTCGTGCAGCCCGTTGAAGATGTCTGCAAGCTGGAACTGACCTGGGTGCTGCCGCCAATGAAGAAGTTTTACCGCAGCAAGCCGGACTCCTTCCTTGCCCAGCTCATTGGCTACGAGGGAGTGGGCAGCCTGTGCTCCTATCTCCGGCGACGCCTGTGGTGCATGAGCGTCCGAGCAGGCGTGGGCGGAGGTAGCTTCGAGACCAACTCGATCTACTCCTTGTTCAGCATATCCATATATCTCACAGACGATGGGTTCGAGCACTTGGACGAGGTGCTGGGCGCCACATTTGCATGGGTAACTTGCTGAATAATAGCTCAGACTCCCGGCCCACTACGAAGAACTTCAGCAAATTTCCAAAAATAGTTTTCGATTTCAAGTCGAAGTCCCCTCCATGGACAATGTTCAAAATATTGTCGAAGACTTCAGTTACCTGCCACCGAAAGATGTCCTCACTGGATCAGATCTATACTTTCAGTACAATGAAGCGGACTTGAAGCTTTTCAAAGACACATGAGCGCATTTAATTTTAACATAATGATTTCATCACACATCCCGTATGAGAACCACGAGTACGATCAGGAAGAACCTTGGTTCGGAACCCAGTTCAAGACGATTCCGATGCCATCGAAATGGCGAACTATGTGGGAAAAGCCGCCGGTGGTGAATGAACTGGCTTTTCCCAAACCCAATCCCTTTGTAACCACCGACTTTACGCTGCACTGGAAGGAAGCCGGACAGCCGTATATTTCGCGAAGTCCCAAGGCTTTGGTGAAGAATGATTTATGTGAGCTGTGGTTCCGGCAGGACAACATCTTCCAGCTGCCCGAGGGGTATATTAATCTGTACTTTATCACGCCACTTGTGCGGCAAAATGTGGAAAATTATATTCTCGGAGTGCTCTTCACCTATTTGGTGGAATTTGCAATAGCTGAAGAATTATATCCAGCCTTGGAAGCCGGTCTAACGTATGGCCTCTACAGCGGCGACAAAGGTCTGGTTCTGCGTGTCAGTGGCTTCAATCAAAAGCTGCCGCTTTGGTGGAAATAATACTGAAAGTGATGCAAAATATCAATTTGGATCCGGCCCAAGTGGAATCCTTTAAGGACTAAAAGGCGTCAAATATTCAATGCTCTTCTCAATGGACACGCGTTGAACCTCGACTTGCGTCTTAGCTTGCTAGAAAAAAGCACTTTAGCATGATACAGAAATACGAGGCTATTGATGCAATTACCATAGACAATTTGAAACAGTTTAAGGAAATTTCGCCCAGAAAATGTATGTGCAGGGTCTCATTCAGGGGAACTTCACAAGTGACCAGGCCCAGGAATTAATGGATAAAGTTATTTCGATGTATAAAAGCGAAAAGATCGAGGATTTGTCTTCTCTGGACAATAGCTTATTGCAATGCCTCTGGGGACTCATTTTCTGCGTGCCCGAGCCCTCAACGAGAACGACACGAATACGATCGTTACCAACTACTACCAAGTGGGTCCCTGTGATACCCAGTTGGAGTGTCTGATGGATCTGGTTGAGCTGATTACCGAGGAGCCGCTCTTTAACCAGCTAAGGACTCAGGAGCATTGGGTTACAGCTGGGAATCTATCAGCGCATAGGCTACGGGATCATGGCCTTCGTGATCACCATTAATACGCAGGAGACCAAGCACACGGCTGAATTCGTGGAGAAGCGCATCGAGACATTCCGGAGTGGAATGTCCAAGTTGGTTTCCAATATGAGTGATGCCGAATTTGTGGCACTTCGAAATCTCTCGTGAGTAGTAAACGGCTGGGAGACACCAGCTTGGACGAGGAGGTTATGCGAAATTGGAGTGAAATCGTAACCAGGGAATATTTCTTTAATCGGGTGGAAATGCAAATACAGATGATAAACATTTGTCAAAGAAGCATGTCCTAGACTTCCTCCACGACTACGAAAATAATAACTTCCGAAAACTTTCAGTGCAGGTTGTGGGAAAGAGTAACCGATCCGGTGACAGCCAGGCGGGATCCTTGGCGGGCATATTGGATGTGGTTCATCACAGTATTTCTGGGGCAATATCTGGAAAAATAAATATCAAGTTCTTGGGTACCGAAGATCCTGCAAATATTAAAGACATTTCGGCCTTTAAACAAAATCTTTATGTTTATCCATTGGTATTTACTAACCCAACGTTATCAGCAAAATCTTAGGCAATAAAAGTGAAATAGCCTCTTTATTACTATGTATTTAATTTTAGTTTTGTAGTTTGAGTCTCCTTTTAAAATTTTGTTTCTGATTTTTGAAAGGTGTAACACTAAAGCCAACTTTTTTGTCATGGCAATACTAGACTACTTATTAAACAAGTAGAAAACTTACGGTTGAATGTGACCGATTGCTAAAAGTCCGGTACTGCAAGCATTTGGCTAATTCAAATTTATGAAAAACTTAAAATAGTGCTGAATGCAGGTGTACTATTACCTGGTTAAGCCACATACTTGTAGGATCCGAGATATCCACTTCTGCATCCTCTGTTGGCTCTTAGTTATAATACCCTTGATACCCTATGAGTAACGAGTTTGAAAAGTTCTTAAATTTAGTTTACTGCTAATACTTGTGAAAGGAATTCCTATCAGACATGGAGGTATTAAATATTTCACCATGAAATCTGTGTTATTTTCATTAAACTTTCTTCTTGTTGAGGGTATGAGCATAGAAGAGGCTGCCTTCTGATTTATGCCGCTTTCCTAACAAAGTCGACCAGGGGCCTGGGCCCTTCTTCTAATCGCATTGGCCATTAGGGCAAGCTGCGCTAATAAAAATTAATGCGCCCAACGCTGGTGGCCCGCTTTTCCACTTTTCCCGACGCATGCACACACAATGATGGTCAGTCGGTTGGTCTGGATCGGTCGCAGGGAGCTGGGATTGAGCGGGTGGCTTTGGCCACACTCCTGCGGGCTACATGGGGGGGGTCGGTTGGTTACCTATCCAGTCACTCAACTCGTTATGCAATTTCCCACATTTACCCCCTCCCCCCCATTTTCCTGTAGAGCTTTTGTAGTGCTGTAAAATGCTCCACCTCCTACTGCCTCCCCCCTTTGTTCTCTCTGTTGCCAATTTATTCGCACTTATGCACGTGCATACGGCCATACACAAGGACAGTTGGAGGCATCGCACATGATCCTGGCACGTTGTTGGCCGAATCAATTTCATGGCCCGTCGTCCACGCCCCGAAAACCACCCACCCACTCGCCCCATCTCCCTTTGATGCCTTTTGCAATTTACTCGTTTCCTTGTGTCCACAATGCTGCCGGTGAAGGATCGAGTGGGCGCTGGCTCTACCTTTTGCTCCGACCAAGCTTTTTACCAAGTCGGAACAATTAAAATGATTTTTCTGCCCTCCGCTTGGCTCTGCACTTTATCAATGCCCCCTCGTTGCCGCTTTTCCAAATGTCAACTGCCAAGGACGCAATGTTGTTTGCTTTCGTTCGCTTACTTGCTGGAATTTAAGATACAAGTACAGAGGGAAAAACAAGTGAATGAAGATATAGTGAAGAATAAATATTATTAAATGATATAATTTAAATTGTATGTAAAAGAGAACGGAACTAACTTATAATTTACACCAATTAAAAGTATTTACACATAGGTAACCTCATTCTCTTCAACTTGTTTTTCTCGAGTGTTGTTTAAAGTGAAAGCGAAATACAAGAACCTCGTGTCCTTTTTTCCATATGCATGACTAGTGATGAAATGAGGGGCACCACTTCATTTGCCGGTCGAACAACCTGTCCGCCGGTGTCGAACTTGTCCATTTACTGATTGATTTACAATTGTATGTTCGTGCATAGCTTAGCCATAAATTAGTTGGTCTGCTGAACTCGATTATTGGGAGCTGTCAGTGGCAGTTGGAAAAGAAAGTTGCCTCAGGTATTAGAGTTTGGGTAATTTGGTTAATATTGATTAAATGGAAGAGCTGTCTTGAAGAAGTATTGCTAATTGTACGACTACTACTACTTTACTGCATTTATTATTAGAAACAAAGCATTATTGAAGAGCAGGCAGAGTGTAAACAATGAGCTTACTTTAACAGACTTTTGGTAAAATTCATAAAGTTTTGTTTCCATAATCCCTGATCAACTCCATTCGCTTCCGCTTAAGCCACAGGACGAACCCAACAACTATCAACTATCCTCGGCTCAACTCTGAACAAGTGCAATCCGAAACATGGAGATTATTCAGTCATCCCTTTCAAGACTCACTCGACATCAAGTATACGCAGCGTGTTCGTGTTGTCCTGGCTTCCTTGCTTAAGCTTTGATGATGCCTTTTCGTTTGTGTGTTCGTTCGGTTTGACACCACCCCCACATTTTTGAGTTGATTATTCTGTGCGCGCCCAGAAAAGTTGCCGCAAAGTTTTCCACAACGCAACGGGGAAAACCCAGCAAAAACAAGCCCGGCCCCTCTAAGCATGTGTGGTGTATGTAAGCCATATATTAATAATAAGTCCGTCCAAAGAACGCACCAAAGCACAGAAATACAGATGTGGTACTTTTGGTTTCGCAAAAAAGGTATTATACACAATAGAAATACAATTCATTTGGTTTATGTTTCTTGTTGTGTTGTGTTGTGTTCCATTTTGTTACATTTTGTTGATCTTTTGGCGATTGTTGTTCTTGTAGTTGTTTGCTCGAATTTCTTTTTGTTGAAGTTTTTTTAAGCATGGCTAGATTTCCCTGGGTTCCATCCCTTTGTTACATCCCCTACACCACGTCTAATAAGTTGCACATGCCACGCCCCTGTCATGCCTTATTTAGCTTGCATTGCCCAAAAGCATTTGGCACATGCCAAGTTTGGTGTTGCATCTTGCCATCAACGGCTGCAATTTGCCCGAAAGCAGGGGAGGAAATGTGGGGCACGTTGGAGGGTTAGAGGGTGTTGCTACTGTAACTGCCATCACATTTTGCATGCTTCGTTAAGCATTCTGTACAATACACAACAGCAGTAGAAGCAGCAGAAGCAGCAGCAGCATCCCAGATGAGGTGGTGGTGAGGTAGTGTAAAAAGTCACCTTTGGCGAACTACAGTTTTCCTCGACACTAGAAGGTACACAAAAAATGGATTACAAGTGCAGTATCTGAATCTAAAGTTGGAATAGTTAACAACTTGTTAAGAATTTGGGAAAACTTAATGGTTCAATCTATATTACTTTAATATTAGAATTAATTTCTGTATTTTAACAGTGCACACTGTACTACACAAATCTAGTTGACTATACATGTTGGTAATTTATTCCAGACTTCAGATTGGTTGTGCGAGTGTTTGTCTGCTGATTTTGTTGCAGCTGTCGTCTCTGTGCAAAGTTTCGAAGTGTTGTATATATCATACCAAAGAACTAGGAGCAGAAACTTGCCACTGAACTGTCCGTCAGTCAGTCAGTCAGTCATCCAGTTCAGTCTCGCTGAGAGTCTCTGGATATGTATAGGGTATATCCCCAATCGACCCCTGATCCAGCATAGTTGATTGTTTTTCGCTGGCTCGCAAAACGAACATCTAATATCGAGACTGAATTGATGATGCAGCCCGAATTTGATTTCTGTTTCGGAATTTCTATTTCGCTTTTGTCTCTTCCGACGCGAACTGATGCGATGCGATGGAATGGGATTGAGGGAGATTTCAGAGAGCGTTTCAGAGATTCAAACACTGGTGGCTAATTTTATTGAGACGGTGTGATTATTAATAAATTTATAAAACTTTAAATAAAATATTTGAGCTAAAAGGGTGAATGAAATGCGATACCCAAAATTTTAGTCATATTTACAACGTAGTAAAAAGGGCATTTTATCGATCTAGACATTCCTGCATTCGTCAGTATGTCCATTTCTATGGAAAATAATCTCTATTTTAAGAGCTTTATAGATGAAACCTTTAAGTTTTTTTTTATTGGAGATAATGAATAATTTGAAAAAAGGTACGTTATAATGTTTATATCATGTAGCGTAAATAATCAATTTTTTCTTTGATGTTTTATACATTTTTGATTCTACAAGCTACTAAGAATTACTGTTTTTTTTTTTAATTCGGACGACTATATCATATATTTGTCATAGAAACAAACTATGAATAATTAAAAATTAATATGCACATGATTAAAATTCATGATATATATAAATATTTTATACAAAATATAGATCATTATATAGAGTTTTTAGCTACAAACAGCAAGGGTAAACCCTGGGCTTTTGTTTAACTTCATTTCGATTGAACCATACCCAATATTTTTTCCACCGATTGTAGAGCTAATCATCATCCATTTTCTATGGCAGAGACTTAACATTTTGCCTCACTCAGCCTAAACTGCACTTCCCAGTGAGGCGCAAAGACAAGAGGCGTCTCAATAAGCTGCGGCTGATATTCTTTTTTATATTTGTTTATATTTAAATCCCTTAATTCTTGTACTACAAATATATACTATGAACATAGCAAGTAAATATTTTGGAATGAAACCGTGACTCATGATAATATTTAATTCTTATATTTTTTTTTAGGCTCCATCATGTTCCATGTGCGACGCCGGCCGGCGGACTCACAGCCGCGAAGACGCAAGAAAAAACCGCTGGGGGCTTCGAATGGGGCCAACCACATGTCCGGCGATCGCGAGGGTCCCGTCCTGGTGGAGGTGACGCACAGCGGCGATGGCGGTCGGCGGATCAAGCTGGGCAGCGACCCCGTGGAAGTGGGGTCGGCGAACACCAATTGCTGCAGCTGTTCGGACCCTCGATCCAGCCGAGGCACTGCCTCATCTCGCTGCTGGAAGGCGTCTGCACGGTGACCCCGCTGCACACGGATGCCCTGACCTTTGTCAATGGCCACCACATCAGCCAGCCGACAATTTTGCATGTAAGTAGAGGGAATGTGTAGGGATAACCAGATATCACTGGTATTTAATAATATTCACTTTGATGCTTAAAATCTACATAAGTATATTGTTTTTTTTGATATTATTCCGCCTAAAGATGATATAAATCTAAAGTTCTCGCGATTCGCAACTAGTGTGCACTCCTTATGGTGACCTTTCCACTATATCTCTTCCATTAACTAATTGCGAATAATTCAGCTCAATTAGTTACATTTTCTTGCGCGTCACCCGAGGCTTGCGTATGTTTGCCTAATTTGACAGCAGCAGGCAATGCTTTCAAGGGAAAAGTTTTTGGCAACGAAAACGACCTTGACCCGCTGGAGTTTAAACTGCTTAAAGCCTGGCTAAAGCTCTACTCGGCTGTCATTTGTCCTTTCCCCTTTAAAGTCGTGGGATTTTCATGGCTCGGCTGTCTGAGAAGGTCCAATCCAATAATCGTCCTGGCTTACTCAAGCGTTTATGGGGCCCACTTTTCGATGGAATCAGCTTCAAGATAAATGAGCTTGGAATTGATTTACACTTTGGGGTTGTACAAAGTCACAAGTAATTCATTTAACTCTAGTAACTTGGTGAAACTAAACTAATTAATTTAAAGGGATATAAATCTACCTATATATAAATAGCAAAATAATCCAACAGTCGGACGTACAACCCGACGGTTTCTAAATAATGCCAGTCCTTGTATACAATGTGTAAAACCATTGACAGAATTCGAAAACAAACATTTACGACGAACTTGAGCCGCATTCAGTCGGAATTTTCAATTCCCATTCATTTGCACTTCAAGTTCATTATCGACTCTGAGTTTGAGTTTGAGTTTGGAAAAGGGCAATAAAGCCAGCAAGGCGTGTGTTGTGTGTGTGTGTCCCGATGGCTTTGAGTCGCCGCTGATTTATCTTTTGTTTTGACAACTTTTCGGCACACAGCGGAAACACAAACAAAACGTTAAGAGACATTGGGGGAAATGAATCAAATTGGCTTTCGGCGTTCTCACGCATTAGCGGAAAAGTCAGAGGGAAAGCCACGAAAAACACAACACAACAGCGAATTTGCCAGTGCGTTGTATTGTGTAAGCTTTTCCCTCTGTTGTTTTTGACTTTCCGCTTGATAAATTTGAAACCAAATAAACAGGAAAAAACTTCTGCTTTTCCCTATCTCTGGAATGAAACTGAAGCGCTGCGGCAATAACCTCAAACTGTCTTTAGGGATTATGTCTCTGGCTAAGGAAGGGAAATTCTTCTTCATTTTGTGCATTTTCTGTTCTGGATTTCCTGTCATTTCTGTCCTTTTCCTTGTGTTTGTCCATGGAATTAATTCAGTTTCGTTTTATTTTTTGTAAACTTTTTTTTTCAATTGGCAAATTGGGGTTGGCTGCGGTTCGATGAACCTGAACAAAAAAAAAAAGAATAATGCAAATGAAAATCTATATGTTGCGTCAAAGATGCCTTCACCCGAGCTAATCAGGCATTAGGGGGAAACGCAAACAAACGCACACTCACACGCTCAGAGCAGAGATAGCCGGTAACGAAAACATAAAAAAATTAACACAAATCTCGTTCGGTTCGAACTGCTGAATCTCCCCCAGAGAGGGGCGTCTCTGTGCGGCAGTTTTGGTTTCGAAACGCCCCGAAATATTCCCAATCGCTGCCACAGTGCCCCAGAATCTGTCAGACGGTTCACTTCACTCCACTTCACTCCACTTCACTCTTCCCTTGGTTGGTAGCTGTGTAAATATCTGAATAATTACCGCACTTAATAATAATTTAATTAAATCACTTGCAACGGTTTTCAACCCATTATAACCCTCGTCACATCTCAGCATATATGTAAGGGAGTAATTAATTCATATGTGTATCTGTCATTTTCAGAACGGTTCCGTCGTAATGTTTGGACGCGTGGCCTCGTACCGCTTCCTGGACTCGCCCACGGACGGACGCTATAACCTGGCCCTGTCGCAGTCCCAACTGGACTCTGCCTGCCTCTACGAAAGGTGAGTTAGATGTGGAATATGGTCTCCAAGGAGTATGTCCTGTTTTATTTTGTGCAAAATATGTATGCTACGCTTGCGCCAAAAGCTTTGTCAGCAATGTGTTTTTAAGTTCGATTTTGGTTTAATATTAATAAAGTGTTATGAGCCGGAATTTAATGCAAAAGAATACTTTAGGAATTCATACGAATACTTGAACCAATTACATATTAATTACTTTTATAAAATGTTCGTTTCTTACTAGTTAGTTCTTACTATAAGCAGACACTGAAATTAGTTCTTTTCAAGCCTTAATTAACTTTAGTAGAAATGCATATACTCCAGTTTTCTTAGAAAATGAATTTAAGGGACAGTTTTCTCTTTCTGAGAATTTTAGCAAAGGGAAGGAGGAGGCCATGCCTTTACAAGGACCCACATATTAACTTTGTGAATAGCTAGGCATTAGCATTTCCATTTAACCCTGCTTGCCAGAGTAAATGTAAAACAATTTAATTCACCTCAGATGAGAGACATTTAGGAATTTTCGGCAATATTTATTTGAGGGTGTTGTTATTTTGCGCATTTATTCATATTTATGTATGTTTTTTTAATTTTATTTTATTTACACGCCTTTTGTGCTGTTCGTTTTGTTTCGTTACGTGCTGTTTGTTTTTATTGTTTGTGTAAAAACATTAATCTCATGCACTCACCAACAAAAAACCAACAACAATTACCCAACAAATATGCAAAATAATTTGCACACAACCCCCACACACACACAAACACACACACACACTCCATTCACCTGAACCACAACGATGAAAACAACAACAACTTGGAAAACTCGGCAGTCGCTCACCCACATCCCCCGGATCCTGGAACGACGAGGATGGAGCCTTGAGTTCGGTGGGTATTTTCTAAGCGTATTCTTTATATAATTTCTACATGTTAAATCTGCTAATCCTTAGACCCACAAGAGCGACTATGACCATCACCATCAGCAGTCGAATCAATCGACAAGTGCGTACCACAACAATAATAACAACTCCAGTGACCATCCGCTGAGCAGCACGCTGAGAGACGTTGTGGACAGCAAAGCTGGGCAGGATCAGGCGATCAACTCGGGAATTATGACGGCCAGAGTCTGGAGGGTAATCTGGAGAACGAAACCAAGTCCATTTCCAGCTTGAAGTCAGGTGGTTCCAACAGTCAAGATCGGTAAGCTGCGAGCGACTCTCGCTGTTCATTATAATAATATTTCAGTATATTCTTTCTCTGAAGAGTCTTCCCCTTTAATGAGAACAGGAAAGCCAACACAAAATTTCCACACACAATCATAAAGCAAACATGTTCACTGTCTGAATTTTATTTTCGTTTTATATTATTTTTTGTGTGCGCTTTAAACAATAGCAGTTTAATTTGTTCCTAACCGCTTTAATTTTCTGTTGTATCCTTTGTTTTGTACGCTCTACTAATATCGATTAACCCTTTTTTGTGATGAACACAGGTCCCCGAAAATGCCGGGCTCTGGCCTCATGGCGGGAGGTGGCAGCGGTTCCGGTGATGCCCAAGGACAGGAACCCATTCTACCGGCCGTCCTCGAGTTCCCCGAAACGCATCAGGAACTCTTTCTGCGTCACATTATCAGTGAGCTAGATGTGAATGTTCCGCACTTTAAGCTGGCACCCGTCTACTCGCTTTACCTGTGTGCCAGGTGGGTAATTTGCCAGGTGGTTTTTTGGGTGGGTTTGGGGGAGTAGCATGTCATATTAAGAGTAAGGAAACGCTTGCTCGGCTTTAGTTGTTGTTTAAATGTTTCGTTGTTCATAATCTCCTTAATGTTTAAAGGAATGAGCTCTTTGAATGCTTTAAACTTTAATGTGAACGTAAAAATAAGTGTTACAATTTAAAAAGATTAGGGCTTAAACATGTATTTATAATGAATCCCTTGACACAATTTATAATTAATTAGAGTGCATTTCATGTAAGCCAATTAGTAAGTTTTCTAAAATGGATTATATATTGCACTTAATTGCACAGCAGCTTATTCAATAATTAATTTAATGTAAGCTGAGACCCCACATATTTCATTTATCTTCGAATACGTCTATGTACAGATAGATTAATGGGTTAGCTTGACTCGACTTGACTCTCAACCCCCTTGGTGGTTGTCTTAGGCAATTTGTCCTTCGATGAATCCATTTACATTTCAATTCCAAAATCAGAGCTTCATTAAACAAGGCCCTACGGACAAGGACATGGACACGGACACGGACACAGGCGAATGAAGATGAGGAAAGCAGCTTACGCCAGCTGACAAATGTCCGGACCTCGGACACAAAGTGGATCGACATGTTCCAGAGGGCACTTGTTCATTCCTCCCTCCTGCTTCGGAGGCAGCAGCAGCAGCAGCCAGTATCAACAATTCATTATCAATTATGATGATTTATCTTGGCTGCTGACCCAATTTGTGAGCTATTAATATTAATGTGTTCTGACAGCGGGATGCGGGGCAAATGAGAAACGGAAAGTGGTCAGGCAGGAGCACGAGGGAGCAGGGAACTTTGACATTTGACAGGCGTGAAAATCAATAGATACGAATGGGGGGACATGGCTGGAATGACTGGAATGACCAGCTTAACTCATACCATCAAGAGAGTGGAACTCAAAACAGTTGTTTTTCCCTTAATTGTGACAGATATCGAGCCTCCACCCACTACCGCCCGGAGTTGCAGCCCACGGAGCGTGCCCACAAGCTGACCATGTTCCTGCACCATGTGGCCAATCTGGTTTACAGCGTCGTCCAGGATCAGTACACGGATCCGCGAATTCTGGCCTTTTGGATGGCCAACAGCTCGGAGTTCCTGCACTTCCTCAAGTCGGATCGCCACATCAGCGCGTTCAGTGTCCAGGCGCAGGAGGTTTTGGCCGAGGCCGTGCAGACGGCGTTCCGCAATCTGGTCAACTGCTTCCGGCTGGAGCTCTCACAGACCCTCAATCAGTTTCTCTCCGAGAACATTGATCACGACTCGGCGGCGGGTCTGGTGCTGACCGTCTTGGGTTCTGCAATGGCATTGCTAAGACGTTGCCGCGTGAATGCTGCTCTAACGATCCAGTTGTTCTCGCAACTGTTCCACTACATCAATGTCATATGTTTCAATACGGTGAGCGGCCTTCGAATGGCCTTGACCTCCTTCTTCAGATCCGCTTCTATTAATCTTTTAACTTATCCGTTCCAGATTGTGGCCAACTCTCACATGTGCACGGGCGATTGGGGCAAGGTTATGACGGAGCGACTGCAGCTGCTTGAGCTGTGGGCGGAGCGGCAGGGACTGGAATTGGCCGCTGACTGCCATCTGGCAAAGATCAATCAGTGCGCCCAGTTTCTGCAGGCTCCGAAGTCCTCCGTGGAGGAAATCCAACAACTGGCCTGCTCCTGCTTCCGCTTGAACTCTCTGCAAATGGCCGCGTTGCTGCAGCAAGAGAAGCTCCCACGAAATCTGGTCGACACGGCCATCCGAATGGCCGAATCGGTGGCGGACGAGCTAACCCGCGCCGATGGACGGGAGGTGCGATTGGAAGAGTCGCCGGAGCTGCACTTGGCGCTCTTGCTGCCCGACGATGGATTCAGCTGCGATGTGGTGCGCGGTATACCAACGGGCCTCGTCGACTTCCTCAATCCGCTTCAGCAGCAGGGCATGTGCCGGCTGGCGGCGCAGCCCACGTCAATTGGTCTCTGGACGGTCTATATGCATCAGTTCAATGTAGGTCCTCGCTTCCTGAGTCCTGAAACGTACTAAATCCTTTTCCTACAGGCCCGCAGTTCCAGTGCAATGTCTAACTCTAAGCTCCCGCAGCCCGAGCTGCAGCTCATTAAGCTGCACAAGAACAGCAACGGCATGGGCCTGTCCATAGTGGCTGCCAAGGGTGCCGGCCAGGAGAAACTGGGAATCTACATCAAGAGCGTTGTGCCGGGTGGAGCCGCGGATGCCGATGGTCGTCTGCAAGCCGGTGATCAGTTGCTGCGCGTCGATGGTCAGAGTCTTATAGGCATCACCCAAGAGAGGTAGGAATATCGATCAAGGGTTCCCTTAAGGGTCACAACATAATTCTGTGCGTCTCTTGTAGGGCTGCCGATTACCTGGTGCGAACGGGTCCGGTGGTCAGCCTGGAAGTGGCCAAGCAAGGTGCCATCTACCATGGATTAGCAACGCTGCTGCAGCAGCCCAGCCCCGTCATCCAGCGTGGTGAGTAGCTCCCTTCAGTAGGAGACCACACACACATGTCTATACAAAAAATACACACATTAGAGCGAACTCCAGGTGCTGGGTAGGACGCTAAGAACACTCAACTCAACTCACTCACTCACACACTCATCCAAGATACTCACTCACTACTCTACTCTACCGTACTCACGTTGCGTAAGCTAACCAAGTAACCAACCAACCCATCCCCCATGCCGCTCCGTCCGCTAGAGGCTTGCGCCAGCAATTTTCTCCAGCATCTGAGTCCGGGCCACCAGCAGCGTCGTCACTCCTCGTTCCAGCAGCAGGCTCGTTACTATAGCAACTCCATCTCGGACGATAGTCTTAATAGGAGTCGTCGTGAGTCCTTTGCTTGCATGCGGGCTTCCTCGCCGCCCGTTAGGCGACTGAGCGCCTCTTGTCTGCAGGAGGAGCTGTGCGCCTTGGGCCATCAGCTGCACATTGATCCACGGTACAGGGATACCAGACCCATTGCAAGATCGGCCAGCAGTTTGTATCTGGCAAACGAACATCAGTCGGGGGGTTATTATCACCATGCGCCTCCCTCGATGGCTCCTTCTGTTACCCACTTTAGTCCCATGCGACCGCTGAGGAGAACGCCACCGCCTTCCATTTATATTGAGGAGTACCAGGACGAGCCGGCCGCCAAAGATTCGCAGGAGTCGTTTGGCAATTTCGCTGCCGCCTACAGCGATGCCCACCAGCCGCTAAATGAGGAGGGCATCGCATCCATGGCTCACTCAGATGAGATTCCTTTTATAGATGACGAGGAGGAGGAAAAGCAGCAGCAGCAGCAGCAACAAAGACCTTGCATGGCCAGCTCCAGTTGCTCCTCCTCCACAGTCAAGAGAAACCCCGCTGCGAGCTACCGCAAAACGGTCAGTTTTGATCTGGACCAGACAGAAGCTGAAGATGCCACCGGGTCGGGAGTAGGAGCAACTGGAATCGATAGGAAATACCATACCCACGACGCTATCAGCCATTTGGCAGCTGGGGCCTCGTCAACCGAGTCCCTGATGACCGAGCAGCAGGCAGAGAGGATGCCCCTGATTCAAAAGATACGCCGGGAGCTGAATAGCAAGCGAGCCACAAACTGCTCTGCGGATGGTTTCAGTTCCGGCGGATCCGGTTCCAACAGCCAGCGCTCATCCAGCGAGTCCATCGAACGGATGCCGCTGCTCCGGCAGAATCCGAATCAATCGCCTGGTCAGCATCGGCAGCTCAACACCCAGCGGTCGCACAAAAGGTCAGCCGGAGTGGTCAACGCTGCCCCAATTGTCAGCATCCAAGTTCCTAGTGTGTGTGAAATCGAAAGTTCCTGCACCACCCGTCCACGTCCTCCTTCTACTGTAAATACAAGCAATCGATATTGTGCCAGCACCTCCACAAAAACCAAAACAATTCCCAGCAGCACCACCTCTTTATCGGCTAACGGTCGCAGACGAGCCAGCAGCCATGCCAATCTCAGTCCCCGCTTTTTGAAGGTACCATTCGGTCAAGGAAAGGTCCGCGAAATGGCGGCCTACTTTAATGACAACAAGGACTTCCTACCGACGACCAACATGAATAAATCGCGATCCACTTCGGCCCTGGATGATCATGGCAGCAGCAAACCTTGTGACAAGCTCTCGCAGGCCGAGCAGGGACAAATCCTCAAGCAGCTGAAGGAGTGGAGCCTGTACGGCAGTGCAGGGAAGGATTATGATAAGCCGGACAAGTCCGGCGGCAAGACAAGCTGCGATTGTCCCTGCTGTGGTCATTGTCGCGGCAAAGCATTGCCGGAGCCAGCGGAACAGGAGCCACACCAGCCAGTTGCCACTTTCAAATGTTACGACAGTTGCCAGGACGATGAGGCAGATTCGGAGGAGGCCAAACAGAAGCCGGAACTATCCCGTTATGCCGCCTGCCGCCGGAGTGTCATGTGCAACAATCGCCAGGCTCACAGTGTTCGCCAACTGAAGCGCAACAAACAGCAGAAACAGCAGCAACAGTACAAGGCTAAGCCAGGCCCCGCACATCCTCCTCATCGTCATCGTCATCATCATCATCGTTGTCATTGTCAACGGCAGCAGTCACGCCCCCAGGCACCCACTTCACCACCCTCCACGGCCAAATTGCTCCTGTCCCTGGCCAGCTCCAGCTCCAGCAGCACCAACAAGATGAAACACAGCTCCAGCAGCAATAAGCGGAATTCAAAGAGCTGTCCAAATTGCGGGGATGCCACCGATGATTGCTGCTCAGGCAGCTGCAGCGAAGCTGAATCGTGCTCCTCGGCTGGGGCTGAGTCCTCCTCAACTAGCTGCTGTGCGGCGGCTTATTGCGATGCTCTTGAAATTCATGGCAATCTCATGGGTGGCGATAATGGCGATGAGGATGAGGATGAGGATGATGCAGATGCAGATGATGTGGGCGGCAAAGGGCCCTATGTCAAAATGCCAACGACAACACCATTGTGTCCGACACACAGATGACAACCCAACCAAGCTGCACCGAGGTTCATGTTGTTCCCCTCGTTGTCGTTCTTATTAGCCTTTGGTTTTTGCCTGCTCTTCTTAGAAATAGATTTCTATCTATGTTGTTCTTTTCATTTAGTTATCCCTTTGAGTTGTTGGTTTACATTTTCTTGAAATTTTTAGATTCATTATTTATAGACGACCTTTGTGGTGCTTTTCATATTTAAATAGTATCAATGTAAATCCCCTTTACTGCATTGTTGCCATAGGAATCAAAGCAATAAAAGCTTTTGTTTATTGAACTTTCGCTTTACTTAATTATTAATCAACGTTTCCTCTGATTTTATTTTGTTAATTTTCATCATTCCGTGCACTCACTTATGTATGTGCTTCGTATTTAATTGGATTTTATTGTTGTTTGTTGTCATATTTTTTTTTAAATTAATTTCATACCCGGCACCCACAGGGTGCAAAGGTATTATAATTAAGTGGCAACAGAAAGTTCCCGAGTAAGTTCAAGGACTGATTGCACTTTTTGATTAATTTCAGCGGTCATAGGAAGAATCAGAATAACTTTAACTTTATTTTTTCACAGCAAATCTACTATATTTGTATACATACAAACCTCTTAAACAGCAACACTTTGCAAATACTCGATCATTTCTGTACTTTATTGTTCTATCTGGTCAGAAACTACCCGGTATTTCATAGTCGAGCACACTCGACTTTGGCTTTTTTCAAGTTTTTGATTAAAAATGGAATTACGCGCGTATTTATGTATTTAATCAAATGAAAAAATTGACAAATGGCTTTTGTTTATATGTGAATTTATGTTTGTAAATAGAATTGTGTTCTCTGTTATCCAATGGCTTTGTAGCTTTGCCCTTTTCGTAGTATTTTAATTAAATTTTGTATGCATTTATTAATAATACTAATTCATTTATGATTATCGCACCAAATATGGATTTACTAAAATGTCAAACTATCTGTCTCTATCCCCAATCCATGCGCACCAACCAACCTCAATTCCACCTCCAACTCGCAAATCCCCCAAAAATGCACTCGACGATGATATCGGTAATGTTGCTGGGAACTGGGAAATCTTGGCGAAATGTGGAAATCGCAGGTAATCGACGTATGTCCGAACGCGATCTGACGCGCATGGGCGGCGCCGAGTCGACCAAGTCTCTGGGTCCACTAATGGCCACCGGCCATCATCCGAATCACAGTCTCAGTCTTAGCCAACATCTGAACAACAGCCACAACAGCAACACTCTCGGCAACACCAATAGTAGTAGCATCATCAATCCGTTAGCTGCACACCTGCCCAACAGCAAGTCGGTGCCGGCATTGCATCACCACACGGGATCGGGTACCATATGTAAGTGAAAGATGCACCAAGCCCCCAAAAGCCATCCCCTCCTTATCCCTGGTAATCGGAGCACAATCCAATCCAGACTGCCGTCGCCCAGATACTAATTCATTTCTTTCCTACCTCTCTCCCCTGGATCGCGTCTTCCATCCGCATCTGCATCCAGCCCTGGCCAATTCCAAGTCACGCAGCACGCACAGTTTGCATAACAATACATCGGGCATCATGGGCGGCGGAGGAGTGGCCGGAGGAGCTGGCGGAATGCTGCTGGGTCAGCCACCAAATGGCAACCACAACAATGCGAATGGAAATGGAAATGGCAATGCCAACGAGCAGGGATTCTATCAGAATCTCAGCGTGTACCGGGCGCAAAATCAAAGCCAGCCGATTCTGAACGAGAGGTAATGCATTCATAACATACAATACATATGTACATACATATAAGCGGACTCTATAGGGCTACGATTGTGGTCAGAGAAATAGTACTGCAAGTAGTTTACTTCTTCAGAGTCTTAGAAATAAAATTATTTTTCGTTTGATTAATTAAAATCTTTATGGGAAAGTCATATTAAATAGGTTGACATTACAACATTTTAAGAAGCGTTTATTTTCGTAGGTCAAAAAATATATTTTTTCCTTAATTAGTTTAAAAGTGTAGGAAATAGTATATAAATAAATATATTATTATAATTATTTAATTCCAATTAAATTTTGTTATATGTATATTTTTTTTAGTACTATGAACAAAATGGTGTTATAGAAATGTTTTTGTGAAATATAAGATAAGAAATATATAGAAAGATAGATAGATAGATATAAACATATATATAAAAATGTCTTATCTTATCAACCTTAATAGATTCACTACTCTCATTTATCATCATGCTATCATTTTGAGAACAATTATAGGACTTTTGTCTTGTCTTCTTAAGTTCCATATTCCTATCATTTTAAGTTGTTGGTTTCAACTTTAATACTAAAGTAACAATTTTTAAGCAAATCAGTAGAGTATATTTTTAATAAGACGAGGCCTCAATTTTAAGGATACATCAATTCTTTCTGTGTACGTTTGTGCTTGTAATGTAAATATGCAATACCACTTACCATATCCACTTTAAAATGCCATTTGAAATTCGGTTGTGTTCTGCTGACCACAGAAATTGTTTTTCGCTGCCATTTTGTTTGGTTCAATTTGGTTTGCAGTTGTGTTTTGCTTAAACCAAAAATCTATTGTGAGTCTAACATCCAAACAATAGTATACAATTAAGGTAGGGCCAGTATCGATCTTAAAATATTTATATATTTATGAAACATTGCGTTCACTTAAAGCTGTTTAGTTTTGCTCCACTTTATTTATTTAGTATACCATTTCATAGATTAGAAAGTGAACTCGACACAAAGCAATGCGGTTTTTGATAGTATACCTTGAAAATCTCAATTCAATAGTCATACATACAAAGGAAGCCAAGCCACCAAGTCCTATTAATAATTTACAACAATTTCAAGTGTGTTTTGGGGGCTTTGTGGGTGCGGCCGTCACCGAGCTTAAGTAATGTGTTGCTAACTCTCATGTGTGTAATTTTAGGGTGGTGACAGTGCGTTTAAAGAAATTACTTTATGGCTTCATACCCATTAAGAAAGAATATCAACTTGTAGAAATGTTCCAAGTACGTGAGTAATTAGTCGCTGTCGTTCCTCCTAGTTAATGTTGCTGCGCTGTACAGAGGCACGCACTGTTGCAATAAACACCAGCCACTTCCCTTTTCCGTCGCAGGGAGGAAGTAAAAGAAGTTATTTCAGCAACGCACTCTCGACACGTTTTTAAGTTAATTAGCAAACCACTTGAGCGAGCACCTTGTCCGCTTCTTTGTCCCTATTAAAACCATCACCTCAACGACTTCTCTTTGTCAGATCGCCAATGACCACACATGTCGCCATGAGCAGCGCGTACAATGGAAATTCCCCGCTTGCGCCGCAGCAGCAACCACAGCAGCAACCATCACCCTACCTGCAGGCCAACGCTAACCTGCCACCCACTCGACCCGTCTCGGCCTATTATCACAGTCAACAATCCGCGCAGCAGCAACTTCAGCAACAGCAACTGCAGCAGCAACAGCAGCAGCACTCCCTTCAGCAGCAACAGTTTGCCCACAGCAGCAGCAACCTTAATGGCCAGCAGCAGCAGCACCAGCTCACCCTTAACAATCGCACCAAGAGCCAGCAGAATTTCCAGCATACCCTGCGCATGCAGCAGATGATGGCGCCATCGATGCCCAACATCAGCAACATGTACCAGCAGCAGCAGCAACACCAACAGCAGCAGCAACAGCAACAGCAACAACTCCCCCTGCACCAACAGCAGCAGCAGCATCAACCTGCAATGAGCAGCAGCCAGAGTATGCAGAACGTCAACGATTTCACGGGTGGAAGCTATCAGAACGGAGGATTGGAGTACCGACGCAGCCAGCTGCACGACCCAGCCACGCTTTACGAACTCCAGCAGCAGCAGCAGCTATTGCAACAGCAGCAGCAGCAACCGTCGCCCAACTTTATAGCACTGCCTCCGAAGCCCTTGGGCAGCCTTCTGCAGTCGCCCAATAAACCAAATGCTCCGCCAAGTACAGCGCCAAAGCCACAGCAACAGCAACAGCAGCGTTTCCTTGGACAATCCCAGCTCGCGGAGGATAAGCCACCGCTGCCGCCTACCGCCACTCATCCGCTGTTCAAGGCCACACAACAGATAGCTCCAGGAATGAATTACGTGGCCAGCACTCTGGATCCACCGAAGGGCAGCTATGTGCCGCCCACTAGCCAGGCAAACAGCCGTCCACAACTTCACAGCGGCAGCAATCCCTGGGAGAGGGAGGAACGGGAGAAGGATCTGGAGATGCGGCGGGAGCACATACGCCAGTGGCGAGAGCAGCAGATATCCGAGCTTTCCCAGATCATCTCACGGTCGCCCATGCAAGAGGAGCAGCTAAAGACCCTGATCCTTGAGCGGGACTTCGAGCGAAGAGCACAAGAACTGCAAGAGCAAGAGGAACAGGACCAGGAGCAGCAATACGACAAGGAGAACGTGGTGCAGGAGCTGTTCCGGCTGACTGGCAACGGTAGCGGTCAGGTCAGTGCCATACAAACGCCCATCACCAGCTACAGGCAGACGGAGATCAAGATGGCGGAGATAACAGACAGCAGCAGCAGTCCACTGGAGTCAGTCCCAGCGCCAGCAGCTCCGGCACAGCAAGTGGCTAGTAGTGGTACCCAGCAACAGCCGAAGAGCATACTCAAGCACAACCGCTACTCGGAGGGTGGAGCGGGAGGCGTGGGAGGAGCACCGTCGTCGCCCTCAAAGTCCCAGAAGTCTGCTAGCTTTGCGGACGAGCGACACCTGCAGACAGAGCACCCGATATCCAACCTGGCCAAGGAGCTCAACCAACTGACTATGCTCGACAAGGATAACAACAATGAGGCCCAAGATGCTGCTGCAGTTCCGCCACCACCGCCTCCAGAGAGGAACAGCTCCTACCTGATCATGTCCCAGCAGAAGCTGCGAGGAAGTACTGGAAATCCCACTTCTACCTCGTCCATGGGTCTGCTCAAAACTGCCACAAGCAATCAACAGGCAGCCGCTGTCGGTGAGATCAAGAAGGCCTCCCTCCTCCTGAACACCCAGCCCAGCAATAACAACAACAATCTGAGTGGCAGTCTTAACAATAACACGATGCAGCAGGCGTCACCTCTGAGCGCCATGGAACTGAATGCCGCCTATGTTTCGGCCACAGGAACCGGGATGATTATGGGTGGACTGGGCACGCCACCTGCGCCGCCACCGCCCCTGTTGCAGCAGCAAAGGGACAACAAGCGGGTGAGCTTCAACGACGAGGAGAACAATGTGGTGAGCGTGCAGCAGCAATACATCATGGACCAATACCTTGAGCATCATCCGGAGTTTGATAAAATTGAAGAAGATGGGAGTGTAAGTGTTTTCATTTCACGTGAAATACTTTTGCAATAAAGAGCTATTTTGTTTCACAGTATCTGCAGCAAAATAACCTGGATGCCTCCATGCTCCCCTCCATGCCAGCCACGCCAGATGCCGCTCTTTGGAACACTTCAGTGCAATCGACGCCCGGCGTTATTGGAGCGCAAGAGGTGTACAGGTGAGTTGTTCTCACAAGTTTCTGCAATCACAGATTTTACATTATATTCAATCAAAACAGAGATCCGCGCCAGCGTCGCCTGGCAGAGAAGCAACAGCAGCAGCAACAACAGCGTGCTGGTGATGCGGTGCCCGAGAAGCTGTCCTTCAAGGAGAAGATGAAGATGTTTGCTCTGGAGTCGGGCGAGGATAATACTCCCAAGGATAAGCTGAAGATTTCAAGGGCCCAGCGAGACATAGATGCGGTGCACTGAGAATGAAACCGGAGAGAAATCGTTGCTATATGCTATATGTACATACACAAAGCTTAAACTTCAATATATTGGGGCCAAGTTGTTACGTTAGTAGCTCTACAAAACACACACTTTTACACATATAGATATCGAGTTATATACTTACCAAACGATGGTAGAAACAAACACAAACCTAACGAATTTGCTTAGCAAGGCAACCACAATCCATAGTTATCGCGTTTCAGAGTTAATTACCACACACAAAACAAAATGTTAACTGAATTCAATTAGTGAGAATTATCGGTGTTTATCATTATAGTCTATATAAAGCGATGTTTATATTTATACAAAACCATATATCGAGCCTACACAATGGCAACGAAAGCGGAGCGAGACGATCCGCATTTGTAAAGCGTTTTAAACATTAACATTACACACTAATCCTACGATAAACAGTTTGTTACGTCATATTATTGAATACAGAATTAATGGTTAGACAGTGTAAATGAGCGAAGTTAGTTTAGATATACAAACATATATATTTACCTGGGAACCGTGCGGAACAAGGAACGTATATGTACCAATATGCTGTATCCACTAGAAAACTTGTAAGCCACAAACAACAATGTTAAAACCAATGGTCCAATTATTCAATTATTAAAGCTAGACATATATTTACAAACCCACGAACGAACGAAAAACTAAATATTTAAAAAGTCTTACATATATATTTTTAATTGATGCAAACCTTTTTTGAACATATTTAGAATGCAGACATGAACAACTAAATTTCGTTAAATTAATAAGATGCGTAGCAGCAGAAACCAATTTTGAATCAAATTGGATTTCAACTACAAGAGAACCTTATGGCTTTAAAGTAACTAAAGTAACATAGACACGCTCACCCATTTATTGGATGTCGTGTACTTATAAAAACTCTTTGTTATAGCATAAAATTTATTCGAAAACCGACCATAAATTAGCAGAAAATTATTTTTGTGCATTCCAAGTATTTCAAATATAGAACCAAGCTAAAAATATTATATATACATATATATCAAATCGAAACAAAATTGTATTTATATAAGACGCGATTTATTTTTAATAAACGAAACTATTTTTTAAATAAATATTGAAAGATAAACAAAACAAAATAAAATAAAAAACAACCTGCAATCTATGTACGAATTAACTTCTGTAAAAAAATGCGAAAATTGTCGTTTAGTTTCACTTTAAGCGCGCTTAGGTTTAAATATTACAATTATATATATTATATCAATACGCAAACAAATTCCGAAAATATTGTGCATATTTATGCAAAATAAAAGTTCATTATAAAAACAATTATCCTTGAAAGTATTTATTTTTCGTTGAGCAAATAATTTAGTGCAAAATGACACATTTTGTGCAAAGTTGTGACTTTTTTTAAAAGAGAGAATTATGAAAATATAGAAAAATCCTACACCCCACGCTTTTAACTCCGAAATTAGTGATCTTGTTTATAATTATATGCTATTGCTCTGAATTTAATAATTTTGTTTATAATTATAAATTAGTATAAATAATTGTATACAAAAAATTAATTTTGTAACTTTTAAAATTGAGTTACTTTTGTCATTTCGTAAATTTTGGACAAAATTTTTTGTTGACATCATCACAGCAGCTTATTTTGTATAAAAATTTAAAGTTGGAAAATTTTTTTTCTTTCTTTTCGCTGGGTTCATTTGGTTTACGTTTAAAACTAGCTGACCAAAAATAAAACACTTTTGTTACTTAAAAAATAATTTAAAAATTTTATACAAATTCTTTAAAGAGTTGAATTTAAATTTAATACATTTTGGAATTATATTTTCCAAGTGCATATTTTTTTAAAATTAAAATAATATAATTTTGTTATGAATTTATTCTTTGGAATCAGCTGTTGACTAGGAACACATCGAATTTCGCGCCCAGCAGCGATTTGAAATGTCTGGGAACAGTCATGCGCAGTGCCCACACGGGTGGAAACTGTTCCCAGGCATCAACAGGTTCGGGAATTGACCTACCTAAATACATTTTTCATGAGGCTGGCAAAAGGCAAGTCAAGCGGCTGACAACTTATTACTATTGGCCGCCACCAGTGTCACTGGCAGGACGGGCGGCTTAAAAATTTAAATCAAAGTTTACGCAGTGCAAATAATTGCGTAAAAAGTTGAAGAATGCCTTCAGTGATTTATGCTCGCATTGAAACAAAATGAGCTGGGCTGGGCTGAAGCGAAACTTTCGCTTTGAATGCTCAAATATTTGGGCAAATTATATGCCAATTTTGCCGGCGCCCCAGGAAAACTTGGTACATTACTTCAATTGCCGCTTTGACAGGAATATCCTAACAATTGCCAACTCAGCCACATGCTCAGCAGCAGCCACTTAAAACGTTGCCGTAGCACCAACTTTGTCCTCTTGTCTGGTTCTGCACTTTAATAAAAACATGAAAAGTTTAAATAATGTTATTCTTACATAAAAATGAATCTATTATAGTAAAGTATATTTATATTAGCTTTAAGTATTATGTACTCAAAATAAATATACAATATTAAACTACTACAAAGTCAGCGAAGCTGTTAAAAAGTCCTCAAAATCCAGCAGATGTAAATAGAAGTAATAAAAGACCTTGGTAAATAGATTCCTGGAATTTAAACTTACTGAATTTTAAACAGATAAATATCCTTGACGACTGGCAATTATTGCAAGTGTAGCTCCCATAGTGGCCCGATTTTTGGTACCCGGTTATTGGGGCAGCTTCGTACGCATTTTCTTTCTGGCTGCCTTCCGAGGCCGGAAAGTTGCAGGCCAAGTTTCAGTGCCGCCCAGGAATAGGTCGCCCACAACGTAATTTAAAAGTCAACCGGCAAACTTTAACCACTTGCTGCAAACTGGAACCAGGAGCAGGAGCAGTCCGGAGCAGGTAAACCGGGACCGGCACCGGGACCCTTTTTGCCTGCCGGCAAGGTGAATTGCCAATATAAAGGCGCGGGCGTTTTTAAAGCGCCTTCGAGTAAAATGTCTTTCGGCGTCGCGCGCGCGGACCAAATGTATTTTTCAGCAGTTTGCCATGTGAATTATTAAAATGCGCCAATCCCTTTGATATAGCCACAACCGCCGCGGGGATTTGGCCATAATCAGTGCTGGCTGGGCGGCCCAAACTTTAAGAAATTGTTGACAGTTGCCTGCTGGCAGGCATTCGGATTGCCTGCCGCAGAATTTTTCAATATTCGCCGCGGCTAATCCTCCCCCTGCAGTTTCCCAATTCCCGATCTGCTGCCGTCAATATCCTCCAGCTGGCGGGGAGGAAGACCTCGCCGCAGAAGCAACAGGGAAAACTGCAGGAAAACTGCGGGAAAACCGAGGGAAAACTGCTGGAAAGCCGCAGAACGAAAAGAAAAATATGAACTGTGGGCAAAAGTTTCCGGATGCGGCTGCTATGGCAAATAAATCAAAAAGTGATTAGCCCATTCTCCCTGGCCACCTCCTTTCTCTGAATCTCAGGACCTCAGACCCTCGCCTCCTCACGCCATCTGTCCAGCTGTAAATTGTCTGTTGAGTGGCCGCCGCCCGAGGAGGAGGAGGAGGAGGAGGAGGAGACTGGGCAGGAGCAGGAGGCGAATACGGGAGCAAGGTGTGCTGGCCAAGGGAAATTCAAACTTGGCCATAAAACTTTCGCCACATCTTGGCCACGGTGGCTAAGACTCTTCGCTCTGGTCAGTGGCGTCTTGATAAATGAGCAGCGTAAAGTGCGCGGGCAATCAGAAAAATCGCACAGAATTATAGTTGGCCAGGCCATAAAACAATGGCCAAGGCGAAACAATGGCCAAGACAAAGGCATCAGCAATTGTAGTTTTTGCATTTCCCTTTCTTGGTTCGGTCTGCCGGCTTAGTGGCCGCCACATCCACCACCCGTTTTCGGCTCCCGTTTTTCCAGAGTTATGACAGGTTTCTTTATTTGCATTTTAAAATATACAGATAATTTGGCCGGCAAGGAATGACGAGATGAGTGGGATGGTCAAGGGGTGGATTCCATTTAAATGAGCGAGGATTGGGGTTAAGACGTTAAACTTGGTCAAAGGAGGGGTAAGAGCATTAGGCTGTTCCAGCTGTAGATGGGCATTAGGAGGGCCATAATGAATGCAAATAGAAATGCGAGCCCCGAACATAAATGCAAATGATGCTGCTATTGATGCGAGGTGTCAGTAATTTGTGGAATATTAAAGAAGCACTGAGCTTTTACACAACTTCAGTAGAATCTCTAACTTCAATTAAAATATATTGAAAATGAAGATTGTAAAAAATAAATGTAAAAGGGAATTCCAAACTGGGATATTTCGGAGAACAAAGCAAACGCTTAAGGATTTAAAAAACCAATCCAACATTTTCTTAGCAAATCAAGACCTAAGTACTAATATGATTCCATTTTACATATTCTCCAAATATAGGGCTTAAGTTTACACCTAAATGAAATCTGAAATTAAATTCCATATTTGATAAAAACAACTAATTGAAAAGTTACAACCAGAACTTACTTAAGACGCCTTAGGCTTTATTTACGCAAATAACAAATAAATGTTCGTTACTCGGAATTAGATGCTTAGTATAATGCTTAGTGGACTAGACCTAATTGCTAGAGCAAGGGAAAACCATATTAAGTCCTAGAATTTGTATAAAAATCTCGTTAATATTCGGAAAGTTGAGCTTAGACTTTAAAAAGTGTCAGCGGAGTAAACCATATCGTCGTGTGAGAGTGAGTGCAATTTACCTAGAAATTAAACTATGTCTTAGACAAAACACACCGCTCGGATGATGATTTCAGTGCTCTCCATGAAAGGACCTCCAGCAGGGCCACTCATGTCTTGTTCAGGGCCACCAGCAGGAAGATTAGCCACTGGTGGAGGCTACTATAGCCATGGCCAAGCCTGTGGAGACTCGCAGCTGTTGACTTGATGGCCGAGGCGGAGTATTCTCCTGAAATCGTTATATTTATAACATTATAAGCAAGAGTTTAAGAAATTTGATGTACTATTATTTAACCAAGCGGCTTATCCAAACAATTGGATTTACTTACCGCTCAGGACATGCAATTGCATGGAAACTGCCGCACTGTTTTCCGGCTCGCACGTGTAGTTGCCGGAGTGAATTTTGCGCACCAATGGAATGACCAGCGAACCAATCTGCAAATCGATATTCACGTGAAATCCTCTGAAGAGTTACAATCCCGTCCCAAACCCAAGTCCCTCACCGTGTTCCGATTGTGCTCCGTACTGCCGAAGATATTCCGGTCGATTTGCGTGTACCATCCGCTCTGGGCACCGCTGGCCTCGTTATCGGCAGTCACCTGTTGGTCGCCGCGGTACCAAAATATATACTGGGGAGCCTCCAGTGTGCCTCGCACGATGCAGTGCAGCTCCACCTTGCTTCCGGCCTTCACAAAGCGCTGCCGATCGCCGATTAGCTCGGTTCGGGGTGCTGTAGTTGGAACAAGAGGTTGAGAGAATTATTGAAAAAATGTATTTAATGCCCCCATACTCTTTTCTGAGTCAACATTGTCCCTTTTGCTAGTGTGTTTCAAAAGTAAATAGTAAAAGAAAACTGGTAGTAGAACTAATTTATAAATTGTCATTGCCTTAAAGGCAATTTTAATAAAAAAAATCCCTCAATTACTGAAAGTCGAGCAGAAATATAAAATAATCATGAGGTGAGGCAGGTACATCCCTTGTTTAAATTTCTGAAGATTTCCAGATAATTCGAATGCAAATTTCTTAAATATCAAGGCTTTGTAGAATTCCTGTTCTTGAAACCTGAAACTAAATACCGTTCGTGACATTTGATTGAAACGCTCGCTAACTACTCGTAAGCTGGCAGGACTCGAGCTGCCTTTATGAAAGGAACTCAACCTCAACAGGCCATCAAAGCCATAGATACTGAGACCATTGACTAGGCAATTTGTCGGTCGTTTCAGTCGGCTTCACTTACTTATCACAAACAGCTGCACCTTGGCGCTCATTTTGGGCTCCGTTGCCAGTTGGCACTCGTACCAGCCTGCGTCCTCCAGCTTCACGTATTTGATTTGCAGTGTCCAGCTGAGGCTGCTCCCATTGCCCCTCTCCAGGCCATCGTGGGTGGAGGCATTTCCCGAAGCATCCGAGATAGTTACGGGGGCTGGGAGTGCAGCCCCTGCCCCTGCCCCAGAGCCTGCTCCTGCCCCTGCCCCTGTCCCTGCTCCTTCCCCTGCCCTGGCTCCTGATGCAATTGTTGTCGCTGCGGATGACTGGAGCAGCGAGGCGAAGCGGGCATCGTTGATGAAGGTTGTGTGATCCACCGCAATGATATGTTCATCTCGTAAACGCACCCAGGAGAGCGGTTTACCCGAGTGCTGGTTGAGCTAAAGGACAAGAGAGTTGAGATAGGAAGCTGGGTTAATCGCACAGAGAAAACAAAGGGAACACTGTTTATATCCAAAGGAGATATTTAAGGACTTTAAAGAATAGAGTAGTTATTATTATTATAAGTTATCTTGTTTAATGAGAAATCAGAAAATGTGTTGTTCAATGGTTTTTAAATTTTAAGGTGAATGCAAAACCTTAATTGTATTTATTTTGATTTCGGAAACTTGCACCCAGTTTTCTACAATGTAGCCAGCTCACTCGAAGCTTTCAATTACGCCACTCAGCTAGATGGCACCCCATTGTCCTAGCTTGGCCTAGTCGCCATTCCTATGCCAAAGTCATCTTCATTCCCATTCCCATCCCACAACTCACCTTGCAGGGCAGATAGGCGTGCTGGCCAGCTTGGACGGTGGCGTTCAGCGGGGGCAGGCTAAGCAGACGGCGTGGGAGGAGCTCCCGCTCCTTGGCCAGCTCCTTCTCGCGCCGTAATTGCTGCGCCTTTTGCTCGCTGTCGTAGGCGTGCAGACGGGACTGCTCGCTAGATGGCGATGGCATCGCCGGACTTCCGGATCGGGAGACATCCACCGGGGGGCTGGTCTCCCGCGCACTGGCATTCCTCAACAGGTGCGGCAGATCGGCGGGTATAAAGTCCGGAAACGGTGGCAAATACGTGGGAATCGAGAAGCCCTTTGTCAGCGTCGCAGTGTCCGGCCTGTCGCTCCAAGTGTCCCCCACCGTGGTCTCCTCGTCCTCCTGCTGCTGTTGCCGCTGGGCCTGGTCCAGCATCAGGACATGAGAGCCGGCTGGGCCTGTGGCCACCGTCAATGTGGTTGTCCTCGACGTCGGCGGCGTAATTAGCGAGGCATTTTCACCCATTGGCGGTACCGCGGATGCCAGAGCTGCAAAATAGGTCAAGAACGATGAGCAGGACATCATCAGATAGGTGGCTTATCGAAGTGTTTCTACGCAAATAATAAATTCCGGCTGCTGCCGCATTGACAAATATGTGAAACTTGGCTGCAAGTTTTGAGTTTGGTTAAAGGCGGTAAAGGATATACCCTATCCATTTGGATGATGCATTTATAAGACGTTCTTGCAGTTTGACATTGTGTGTTTAATAATGAGAATAATTTAGTTATTTTAATTGGGAGAAAGTTTGTTAAATATATGTTATTTTTCAATTTGATTCTTTTTATTACATTGTTGTATTGCTTTAATTTAGTAGGATAAGAGTAGTGTTTTATAGATATTTATTTTATTCATTATTTTAAATTTTATTTCTAAGAAAATATTAGTTGCAATTTGCTTAACAAATATGTGGTCTTAAATCATTTGCTTACTTTTTGTTTTATTTTACATTCAATTAACCTTAAGTCACATATTTATCGAAAAGGAAACCTTTCAAATTTTATAAATATGATGTTTTTCCAAAGGACCATGTTTCTTCCTAATTAGTTTAGGTTTTGTAGATTAGCCTGTGGCCCATATTAAAACGGGTAAAAGGGTAAATTATTTCGCATTTTAAGCAATGAAAAACCGTTCGTTTATCAGTTGCCATAAAATTGAGAATATTAGCCAAAGCTTTTTGGTTATTAATTGACAAATTGTGAATTATTTTAGGAAATATACATATATATTCTGCAGCAGCAAATTGCAATTCATCATGGAAAATGCAAATTTATTTGCTTAGGGCATTTGGTTTGATTGCATTTTGGGTCAAGTGTTGGCGGAGGGGTTTCGACGATTGGTTTTCCTTTTTCCCGAAACGCGAAACAATATCGCAACTGATGGGGATAATTCCGTGTGAATTTATATTTTGTCACACCAGCTGCTATGGGCTATGAGCTTGGCGTCAGGGGAATGACGCTTGAGTGGTAATTACCAAAGGGGGAAAACTATGAAAAACTGAATGCAATTTATGAATTAGTTTTGTGCTGGTATTTAGAGAAATGAGAGATGAGTTTTCGCTCACACATTTATGTTCAAAATGAATTGGAAAATTTCATTAGATTACCTCAGACTCATTTTCGAAATAAAAACAATATAAAATAAAATGAAATATATTTAAATGTTAAATACTAAATAAAATATCAGAATTTGTTGAACTTGCCATCTCATTGTCACAAATATTTGGTGTGATTTTTGTTGTACCAACGATTTCTTTCTGACTTTCCATAAATCGAATTTTCAATATTTTAAATGCTGCCGCGAGTTGAAGATTTATATTAATATCAAATTATGTTTTGGAGTGAAGTACATTATTAAATGAAATTTTTCCCGCCTGAGACTATCCCAGGAAAGACAGCTGTGCCCGGAAAAGGGCCACTTTGGATACTTTGTAAAGGAGCAATCTTTTCAAGATGTGCCACAGACTCGGAACAGACCGGAACGATTACTCAGAGTGGCACTGGCCGTTTGTTATCACTGCCACAACTGACAGCCCGGGAAGCTGGGAGAAATCACTTTGCCTGTGAGTGGAGTTTGTGGCTTGGAACAGCTACAGCATTATATACATGTCGGGAGCACCTAAGGCGGCTCCTAAAATGGTGGCCCGCCAGGCTGCACTCGGGGATCTGCCGGGGGAATCTCCTGCTTTCATGCAACTTGGGAGATTTGTATGTGCTGCAGCTGTTTACTAATTTTGCGGTCAACCTGCTGTCCAGCCTAGATAGTGGTAGTTCAGGTAAGTTTGAAGTATCAAGTCCCGTTCTGTAGATTACTAGAAATTACTATTACCTAAAATAAGCATTACCAAAACTATACATTTTCTTACTTATAAACTAATTATTAAACATTCTCTCCTGTTAAGGATAAGATATTTATAAGACAGTAAGCGTACGGAAATACACTACTCCTCGAAGTCGAAAAATAATTATATTGAACACGAGTTGGCAATCCTATTCTCGTAAGGTTAAGATCCAATCATGCAAATGTCTAGTCCATATGTGTTTCGATGGTGGAAACTTGAAAGAGTAATGTATCTCGGCTTCCGGGCTCTAGAGGATGGGATGTCTACTGAAGTTCAAGAGTCGGGTAGTTATATAAAATTAAATTATAATATATTTCTCTTTTAAGTCCCAATCAATTTTAAAACAATTTAACAAGAAGCATCATTATTGCCTCCGAACTGTAGCTCAACATTACTTGACAAGTCGATAAGTTCCATACTGCTACTGCTCATTAGTTCACTCTTATGATGCCTCACTGTGACCACTTGACTTCTATAGGAGAGAAACTGTGGAGTGCTGGGGGCTGGTCACTGTGCCCCATCCTTTTCCTGATCCAATCAAGCTCTGAGCTCGCGGCCACATTGCAATTTTATTAGAGCATAAAATCCCGCAGATGGGCCTGAAATTACAGAGTCATGCCGCCCACATTATACATTCAGAGCGGGCTAAGGACACGCCCTGCCTCCTTGTTTCTAAGCCACCACCCACCAGCGCCTGTCCCCGTCCTCAGCAGCCATAGCTACATCCCACCATCAGTTGCCTACTTTCGGGCGTCGCCTGCCAGTTCTGCTGTCTCGCCTCGGGCGGCAAATTTACGCGCAGCACAACAAATAACAACTAAGTATTTATTATGTAAATAATATTATGCCAAATGCTCGCACAGAGCGAGCATAGTGTGAGTGAGGGAGGGGGCACACTGCACAACACAGTAGAGTTTGGCCTAAGTTTACGTTTTTATTAAATGCTCCGCGAGAGAACAGTGCGCTGAAATAGTTTTCCACTTTCCACTTGCCCGAGCTGCTACAGCTGCAGGCCGTTGCCGTTGCCTCGGCTAAGTAGCTAATGTTGCGGGCCTTAAATAACTTAAACCTGAACTTAAACTTTGCAGCAAACTTCCGAGGGGCCTGGACCACTGCATAAATGAGATTCGAGGTAAGTTTTGACTCGATTTTGGACAGAGATGCCAAGGTAAAATCAGGAGCCAGGAATGTGAGGCAAAAACTAAAACCTGTCAGCAGCAGATAATTATGAATTAGTTTCATTCGTTGAAATGGGGAAAAACGTTTGTTCTCAGTGTGCCACCTACACAATTCTGAATGGAATATACCGATTCGGGGAAATAAGAGCTAGCCAATTATAGATTTTTTATATTATTATTTCTCTAGCATTTTAGTAATATTTATACATGTAGTCCTTAAATTTTTTTTTTTTTTTCAAATAATTTTGAATGCTATTTATATTTTGTTTTGCAACATCGGGTAAAGTTTGTCGTGTCTTGTACTTTACCAGCACTGAGTGGTAAGGCACCGGTAAGGTACAAGAAGAGGTACCACATCAAAATGCGTGCCAAACGTTAACCGCAAATGCATTTATGCAGAAAGGTCCTACTGTGCTAATGCCTGTTAAATTATATTCTTGATTCCCCTGCGGTTCCATTGTTAGGTTATTAGCACCAGATTTGAATGGGTTCAAAGTATCAGAGTGCCAGGCTTACAGCAAAATAAAGTTGCCTTGCACTGAAGAGCTGGGAGTGGAACAATTAGGAAAACAATACATCATAGAGAGTATATATTTAGTAAAGCGAATGCACTATAAACAGTAATAATCGGCAATAATCCCCTACAGGGTATCGGGCTCTTCAGATCTCTCAGTTGGTAATTGGACTCCCACTGCTTTAAACTTTATTTGCTCGTTAAATTTTCAATTGTTTTTATGCTGCCAGCATATCTATGTAATTAAAAACTATTTGCACACAAAAGTTTATAAAAACACAAACCGACAACAACTCCAAGTGCGGCAAATGAGAGACCTAAAGCACTGTTGTTGTGCGGTAATTAGTGTAACTGTTCAGTTAACCACATAAACTGATTTCGGTTTCTGGGCTTTTGCCATAGTCTGTCCTTTCCCCTCATGCGGCTCTCGTCACACATTTTGGGCAAATAATTGAAATCATTTAAGGGGCCTTGAATTATTACTTTGTTAATGTTATTGTTTGCTGTCGCATTGCCAGAGCAATAAATTTAAAATTTCTACTCAAATGGTTGAGCAATGATTGGCGCAAAGTTTCTGGGCTTGGGACGCTGGTCCCGCACACGGAATATACTAGAGCCCACGGAACATGGATGGAACAATCTCCCTTCGAAGCGGCAGCAGCTATAACATAATAATTCAAGTGGGCGGGATTTTCGGGCATGGGTATTGCTACTCCTGCCTGGTGCCTGGTGCCTGCTGCTGGAAACTTTATCTTTGTCGTGGGTTCTGTCAGGGAATTTCGCGTGAATTTCGTATTCATTCGAGTGCAAAGTTGAAAAAGGCCAAACCCAGTTCAGTCCGAGGGGGTTCGTGTCTAATCGGACTGCCGCCATGAGATGATGCATGGATTATATCGTTTGGAAACTGAACAACCATTGCGACACTGCAGGAATTAAAACCAAATGTTGCGGGGCTTAACATTTCGGGGATTAAGTTTGAACGTTTAATTCCAGTTTGCAGTAATTTCATTAGAGATATGGAAAGGCTACTAAATCTATACTCGTTTCCAGGCTCAAATAGTGGAAATGATTAAAATTTGCATTATCTGGTAAAATAAATATTTTCCATTTGTATTTTATATTTGAAAATTCCTATTAACAACAGACTAATATTAGGGTAATTATATTCCAAATGCAGCTAGCTGGACAAAAATATAGAAAATGCTTTATTGACACGACTAAATATATGGTGTATAAATACAAATACATAACATATAAACACATAAGCCCCCAGATCAAAGTTCAGAATCGAAATAATTTTTTTTTGCCCAGACTGTGTAGAACTATTTTATCCCGAACTAATTTGACAGAATGTTTCCATAGCATTCTGGAGGTGAAAAAGTAATATTGTCCGGCACACGCCATCCTTCAACCGTTAATACAATTTACGATCTTTGCTTTGTGCCATCACTTGTCCACCTCCCCGTCCGTCCAAACGTCCACCGCCCAGGTAACACCCAATTACAACTGGTTAGCATTGCTTTTGGGATTGGTTAACCCGATTAGCTGGAGCACTGCTGCCCCGGATCCCATTAAGTTGGCTCAAACATATAAAGTTTGGGGGAAAATGGCCGGGCCGTGGGGAGAAAATCTGAGCCACGCGCGAGGGCGGGGAGCTGGCCTAATTAAGCGCCGTTCTGGACAAGCTAACAGGCAAGTTAAACACACACAGAACCATTTAATTTGTTTGCGCGATTTCTTTTATTATTAATTACATGCGGTACACATAAATTTCACTTCACTCCTCGTTTTTGGCAACTTTTTCGTTATTTATGTGGTCTCTGATAAACAAAAAAAGTCAGCCAACTGGAAAAATGGCGATCCCAGAGCAAACACGGTGCTCACATGCCGAAAGCCTTTCGAGGTTAGATTTGGTACGCAGTGCACACTCGAGTCCCGGATGGGATGCCCCTCGAAGTGAATGGGAGCATCTGTCGAGTGAAAGTATTTTACATGGGATTTGTACTCATTATTTTTCTGCTTATGCAAAAATGTTGTTCGAGAAACTTGAGTGTTTTCACTTGCGAGATTCATTTACAAACAAGAGCGCAGGTTAGAAGCATGTACATAGTAATTTCTTAATATTTAATTAGAGTCTTATCAGGCAACTTATATGCTGAATAATGGAAGTTGAAACTTTGGATAATAAACATGTTGCTTTTTAAATTTAGGATAATAAACAGTTTCATTTTTAAGCTTGGATATTTTCATTTTAAAACTTAAGACAATACACATTTAAATTTGTAAACTTAATATAATAATTGATATTAAAAACAAAAATTACAGGCTTATATACATTCCAAAATTTGTTCCATTACAAATAACCATAGCATGACAATTCAATCGTTACATTTATACACAAATAATTGTAATCTATTGCTAAAAAGTGGACAGAAATATTTAATTTTACGGTCCAAGTTATACTTAATCTTTTAAATACGAATCAAAATCCTTGAGGAGATCGGCAGCAACCGGAATACTCTCCAACGGGCGCTGGAGGTTGGGTAGAAAGTTAATCGGGCGGCCAAACTCCATTGTGATCATACCCAGTGGGTGCTTCCAAGTTGCTGGTTCCACTTCCTTCACTTGCAACCAAGGCTTCGAGGCCTCCAACTCCTCCGTTACCCACTTGGTGTACTCCGATCGCAGCCGCGTAGACTGGCTAAAGTGAAGGTGAAGTGGTGGGGGCCCGAGCCGGCGCTTACTCAGATCCAAAAGGTGCCGTAGTAGATGGCCATTCCACTGAACCTGGCAATCGAACAGATTCAGATGGCTTAACATTTGCTGGGTGACCACGAAGCCATGGAGCATGTTCAGGTGGCATTTTCGGAAACTAAGTTGTTGGCAGATAAGGGGAAGAGGATTTCTGCCACTGTCGATCACCTTGCAGTTGCTCAAACTCAGTTCCTTGAGAGCCGTGCAATGGGTCAGTTGCAGCTTGGAGAGGATCAGAGGACCCACGAGCCAAGTCCCGTCTATGGTAAGACGTTCCAGAGCGAACCGTTTGGCCAGAATGATGGTCAACACAGTGGGTAGCCAGGCCGATTCCGGCCAGAGCCGTTTGCATTGCAGTGAGAGATGCCTAAGGTTCGTCAGATGGGCGATGGCCAGCGGAGCCGTTATTTCCAAAGGCAGCTGGAGGTCCTTTATAAGCTTGCAAAGCCCGATCTTTTGCACATCGTACACACATGTGGAGTTGCGTAGCTCTAAGTGCTCCAGTTGGGGGCACTTCTGGAGCAGGTCAGCCAAAGTTGCTTGAGAGACGTTGTTCAGATGAAGGGTGTGCACTTTTCCCAGGACTGGGAAATGACCTTGGATGGGGCAGGAGACGTGCAATATCTCAAGATTGGGCAGCACCTCGCCCAGCAATTCGATGTGTTTTACTTCTGTATTCTTACTGTCCCTCTCGGTTAATAGCGCACAGTACCGGGTGTTGACCAAGTGGACGTCCAACTGTCGGCAAATGGCTTGCAGCTTGGGTATGTCGCTCACCTGGAGACGCAGACACTTTAGCTTCTGGCTCAGCATTGGGATCAGGCGATGCAGCTCCGCCTTCGATAGGTGACTCAGCATGGGAATGAAATAAATATTCCCCAGACCGTTGATGACACGATTGAAGATTTCGCTGCCATCTGCCATATATCTGAGGCAAAGGCGAAGGGTGCGGTACAACTGCTCCACAGTGTACTCGGTAGTACAGCGCACTACTTTGGTGGGTCCTGGCCTTGGTTGACCGGTTTGGGGAGCAGCTAACATGATGGCCACTATTTATTACTTCAAGATCGCAACGTAAAACTTTCCCGCCTGTGCCAGTTCTGCCAAGCTTCTGAACAGACGTTCTGCAGCCCTGCAGGGCTTCTGAATTTCCTTTGAGGTTAAGTTCCCTTCTGAGCTCCATTTATTGTAAATTTCTTCTTTTGCCAACAGGGCATCCGAACATATTGCTTCTTTATTAGTAATTATTTAGTTTTTAACTAAAAGTTTTCTTATAATACCCATTAATAAAATAATTTCAGATGATACTTAAAAACAAATTAGGCAGATTAACTGGAACTAGTTCCGACGCGGATCCGATAACCAGATCCAGGTCAAAATAACAAGCAGCTGAGATTTTGTAAGCGACATAAAAGGGAAGAGGGAAAGTTTAAAGAACATTTGTATGTAGCATTTCTTGAATGGAAATTAATGTAAGATGAAAGAAAAAGGTCGAGTTAATAGAAGAAGTAATGGGTCCATTTAATGCCATTAAGATCACATTAGACATTTTAACACCGTCTATGGCTTTCGTTCCTGCGAATATTTGTGTTATCCTACAAATATCTATGATACTGTTGACTATATTAATTAAATCATGAAACAATTTAAAATTTTTAATAAAGTTTCATGACAAGGGACTGAAAAAGTATGTACATATATTTGTATTTAATAAAATTAGTTTAGTTTCCTTTTTTGATATGACGATTTTCAGTCAGGCTTTAAATTTTCCCTAATAAAACCTTAATAATCATTTTTATACACATATCAAATGGTTGCAAAATATAAAGAAAGTATAAAAAAGTTTGGTTTATTATTTCCTTTGCTACATATAAAATATGTTAACAAACATTTATTTAGTCAATGGTTCTGACATTTACTTATATAAGTTTATATCGTTTTGCCTAGTTTTTTTAAACAATTCTTACTTCAAATCAAATCAAATATAGTGATTTGTTTAAAGCAGACGAGACCACAAAATATTTTAGAAGCAAACACATGTGATTTGCTGTGGCAATCTCGAGATCGCGGCGCCAAATCATTTTTGCGGCCAAGTTTCAGTGGCTTCGTTTTTGTAAATTTTCAGAGCCCCAATTTCCAGCCATTTTAGGAGAACTTCAAACCGCCGTATTCTTCATAGGAGAAACGACATCCAGTTGACCATTTCGTTGTTTGGTAACATACATATATTCTCGAAGCCCGAAGCCCAGGGCAGCAACATCATGGGGAAATGGTTCCGAAGAGACTTTTCAATTTCTCGCGAATGAAGTTTTATTTATTTCTGTCAACTGTCAACGAACTGTGTGTTTTCGGGACCTGGGATGCTTCGACACTTTTGTTAGCTTGAGAAAGTTGATCATCGGATCATAGCGATGACGCTGAGGGCGTACCTGATGGACGCCTTGAAAGTTGCAGCCATAATGGCGCTGAGCGACACAACGGCCCAGCTGTACGTAGAGAAGAAGCCGCTGCATGACTGGGACACCGGCCGAACGCTGAGATTCGGCGCTGTGGGCCTCGTGTTCGCAGGACCGGTGATGCGGCGCTGGTACTTCTTCCTGGACAGCAAGGTGCCCAAGGATCTGCCGGTGGTGCGGCGCGCCATTAGCAAGATGCTGGTGGACCAGATCGTCTTCGCGCCGCCCTATGCCTTCGCGATGTCCTGCCTGGTGCCGATGGTCAACGGCGAGTCCTTGGGGGAGATCAAGCGTCGCCTTAAGGACAGCTACCTCACCATCCTTGGTATCAGCTGCTTGGTCTGGCCGCTCGCCCAAGTTATCAACTTCATCTACATTCCCCTCGACTACCACGCGATCTATGTCCAGGCCGTTGCACTCCTATGGAACTGTTACGTGTCCGTGAAACTCAATAAGAAACGGATATAGCAGAACCGACGTCCACCAGGTTCGCTTGAACGAGCGATACGTTTGTCACCTTCGCCGTAGTTATGTATGTCAATTCCAGTTCGATTCAAATTGAAAATTCAAAGTATAATTTTGAAGAAAAGTATAATTTTGTAGTCTCCAATCTCTCGTGAATAGTGTACATGTATACATGATTCTGCAGTACCGGCGGGTCGTCTGTTAATGGTTGTTTCCTTACGTATCGCTGAGCAGAATTCGTGTCATTTGTTCTGATCTTAATCGGTTTTGATTTATTATAAAGTTTAAAGCTTTCTCTTGGCTGCCCCGGAGGCAGTGTCCGTTGAAGATAAAATGGCATTTCTCTGACCGATTTCTTTCATTAAATTTTCGAAAAAAAAAAAAAACTAAATTTAACCACAAAAAAAAAAGAATAAAAGAAGAAGCTCTGGCTTTTTACGCTCGCCTGACCTAATGTCATTTTAATTTCCATGTATGTATTCACGCCCGAGGCGCCTCCCACCAGATAACCCTTCTTTCAGTAGGGACCCAGAGTCAAAAGTGTCACTGGCTTTGTGGGTAGTCTGACAGTTGAAAAATGAAACGCCGGCCCGGCCATGATGTGGCCACAAAAACTGGCTCCATGTGAGATTCCTGCCCTCCATCCGTTCCCGGTTTCCTTGGCGCCTGGGGGGCCGTGGTTCCACCCGTATTTATGTGCCGAAATTAAGCCGAAGAAGGGTGCTTCGGCGGTACAGGAGGGACGACGGCCATTGGGCCGGCCAAGAGCATTCGGCCAGAAGCCGCACATGCTTGTCGCATGTTTAAGCGCATTAATTAGAGGGCATAACTTGTCATTTATTGGTTCACAGCATTCAGCAAATATTAGCAATTCCCGGACCCACCCACTTGTTCCATTCCCCGTTCTAAGCTCCATACATGCATAATCGAACAGTTCAAATGGTTGTCACACACACTCGGGGGGGTTAAAGGAAGCGGATGCACAGCGAGAAAAAGATATAAATCTTCAAGTCGAATAAAAACAGAAATGAAACAGACCCATAGGACTGTTTTAATTCATTTTAATTCGTATTAATATATATTTAAGGTATTCCAATAAATAGAAAGAAGCCCAAACTAACTCCAAAGACTTATTTTACAATCAGAAACAAAGAACCCGACATTTGGATTTATCTGACAGGTTATCTTTATATATCATGATTTTTATCTGTGTAGGGCATGCTGTGGCAGTGACGCTGGCTGGGGAAAAACACGGCGGGCTTAGGCCAATGACGCCGGCCGGGGGTTCCCGACTCTACGGTGAGGCATTTCCCATTGTTGCGAGAGAAATTCACAAGCCGCAACCATTTGCATTCCCTTCCCCCCGCTGCCTCCTCGCATTCCCATTCCGCAAAGGAACTCCTCACACGGCCGGAGGCTGTTTGGCAAAACGAGAAGAAAAGTAAAAATGGAATCATAAATTCCAGCTCTCCTGCATTCCCCCGTGCGCCTCCTCCGTCCCCTCATCCAGCTTCCGACCTACATCAGCAGCCGTCGCACATTTTATCAATGGTTGCACGTTTGCGTGTGGTTACCCTTTAACTCCGAGTGGTCACATTGATTCCACCATGGTCTTGGTGCTCCATGGTGTCCGATAGCGACCGATTTCTGACGAGGGTAAAGGCTCATGATGGATTGATGACCGCATACTGATTAGGCAATATGGCGGTAAGTCGAGTGGATCAATGAGCACTTCACAGGAACTGGGATTTTGTAGTAAAGTATTTTACTAAAACTTTTAGTTTTTGCATCACTGTTTGCAGAGCTTGAATAATATTTAATTTTAAAATACAGTTACAAATAGGAATATCTGCGATGTTTTTGAATTTGAAAGATTTGTATTATTATTATTTTCAATCGATAAGTTTGAATATAATTTCAAACACTATTTGGAAAAATTACTCAAAGAATACTTGATGGTCTCCTTTTCTTTGCAATTAAATTGTATTGGAATGCCAAAGGATCTGAATAGTCTACTTATTATCAATTAACGCATTCTTGACCATCCCGTACCGATGCTAATATAGACTTGGACAACTTGCTTGCAATCGTATTCCAATTTACGGAATTTCTCAGGGTAAAGTCGGGATGCCTTTGCATAAGTAAAGCTCATTAAATTTGAAGGAAGAAAAGTTAATGAACTCCTCGGCGCTCCACTCCTCAGGGCATTCAATTGTCGCATATCGATCTATTTGCTTTTTATAACCGAGCCTTATTCCTTGTTTTATTTTCCCTTCTTTTTTTTTTGTTGTTGTTTGAGGCAAATGGCGACGCGTCGTGTCGCTCACTTCAGCGTTCAGCGTTCAACTTTCAACGACAGTGGGCCGACTTGGACTTTTTGTGGCATTCAGCTTGCGCACACAGCAATTACACGGCTTAAGTGCGGAGCTGAAGGGGCGTGGTAGGCGGGCACGCCCATTTAGCACTCGACTGGCTTCGATTGCTTTAAAGCCGTTTTCCCCACTTTTCCCAACGCCCGCACAGAGCTTTGACGGTCCTTTGCCTTCGTGTCTCCTGATTGACGATTGTTGTCTTTCTGCCGTTGTTATTGCTCATAATTTACACACATGAATAAACAAATACATAACAATATCCAGTCGAGGTTAGGCTTAATATCGATGGCGGTTGCTCATTACGCACTTGATGCGAAAACGTGGCCCAAACGTCCGCGTGTGGGTCCATTAAGGAGCGGATATATGTACTCGCCCAGAGCTCTATTCAGTGCCTGAGTAATTATATATACGAACTAATTGGTGAGTGTGAAAAAGGATACTCCGATTGGGGGGCCAATGTCAGGTGTCGTTACTGGGAATTGTAATTGCCAAAAGTAACGCTTAGCTATAGTTTTGCAATTAAATTAATTTCATTGGAAGTTATTCGAATTTAGTTTAAATGAAATCCACTTTATCGCTGCTTTGCCATGAAATCCAATCCCCTTCAATTATTTTAATTTTAGCTTGATGTAAATTTTAAAATTTCCGAATACTTGACTCTCGTTTTAGATTGGTTAGAGTGCAAAAAATAAACAAATAGTGGCATTATCACCAACAACATTTACGAAATTTGTTATTTATGGACTCATTTCAATTGCCTAGACATTCTATACTTGCTAAATAACTCACATATATAGTATTCTGAAAAGGGTAATTTTTATCCAAACATATTGGTGGCTTCTGCTAACTTACGCCCGGTCATTCCGACAATCCAAAGTGAATTAATTACGTTTACCAGCTATTTATTAGTCTGGAGTAGCGCCTAGCCTCCAAATTAAGCAAGTATAGTTGAAATTTATTCCGGAGACTACACAGTTCGGGTATTATTTTGTGATTCCTAAACTGGAGCGTGAAATTTATGGTCTCTCAACGAATTCGGCTAATGGCTGTATTAGCGACGCCAACTCTTTGGCTCCACTTAGCGCAGTTATTTAATTAAAGCCCTTACTCGAACCTCTTGGCCCCGCCCACTGCCTCAGTTTTGCTTGGCCGGGCTTTTGCCACTCCGACATTTATGTGTTTTGGCCATAAATAAATTAAACGTGACATTTGACCGCCATTTGTCTTGGGAGCCGTTCTATGGTAAATACTTGTATCTCTTATATAAAACATAGTTGTGTCTCCAGTTGAATTCGCCGGCTCCTCTGCTGTTTTGTATGCGGTCCATTGTCCTGGCATAATTAACAGAGATGGACATGGGCGTGGCCCTTCCTTTTGACCTTGGCCAGTGCGCTGATTGATGGCTTAAGTGTTATTTGAGTGTCTACTTATTTCTGTTCTCGCTCTGTCCCATTGTTTTTCACCGAGTTTTCCCCATTTCCCCCACTCCCTCAACTACTGCTGCTGTGTCTGTGGTTCTGCGCGTTTTTGCTGGTGCCCAATTTAATTATATCACATATGAGTGCGGAAATCTGGTCGGGGGTCATGTGTTGTTAATGATATTGCCTGGGAACTACTGTTCAACTGAGATTGATTAGATCTGGCAGCAGCAGCAGCTGAGAGATTAGCGCAAAAACGAGATGATAAATATTAGTTAGCAATTATTCAGCCGTAAGAGACCGAAGTGAGCTTTAAGCGGCTTTAAAGGGGAAGACAGAAAAGTCAAAGAGAAAGTTGAGTCCGCAAATATTTGTCCCAAGTACAGCACAGCATGTAAATAAGTAAGAGGTCCTGGAGAAGTGAAATCAATTTAAGGCAAGTGTTCAGTGATGCCGAAATGGAAATCCCTCTTATAATTTATTCAATCTTCGCTCTGGGAAAAGCCTCCGAAAGTACACCAAAAGTGTGTAATTATCCCGAACCATCACTTAGGCAACTTGATGATAGCAATATGCAAAAGTACAGCTAGTACAGTATGCTCGAACTGATGGTGACTTCACAGGGGAGTCGTCCTCTCCCATCTCGCACATATGTACGACCTGTTGAACGTGTTGGGACGTCGACTCACCCCACTTGCACGCAAAAAATTTAATCAACTCGAGATTCAGAAACAGAGGCGGTTGCCAGGACGCCGCTCCAATTAGGCAGGGCTAGAAAGTATGCCAGATATTTTCATAAACTACTCGAAGAACGAAGGGAAATATCAGGCCAAGTAGGAGCCGGAGTTTGAGTTGGAGTCTTCACACGCTGCGTATGCGTAATGAGTTTCTGGCAGCCCAACATGGGAGATTTTCTCTGATTTCGTGTGACAGGTGTGCGACATTCTCATGTTGTGTAGGTGCGCGTGTGTGCTTTCGACTAAATGAAAATTTGCACTGCACGATTAAATTAACTCGACAAGCTTATAAAAATCGTGCCAACGAGTTGCCAACGACAATGCAGCCAAGCAAATCTCATCATGTAAATTAAATTTGGCAAACGCTTCACTCGACACTTGCACAAAAATGTGCGAAATTGAATTAACTATGCATGCAAAAACAAAAGCTTAGCAGGGCACACGGAACACGGAGAAGGATCCCCGGCACCGCACAGCACGGAAGAGCCCCCAACACGTAGCCAAAAGTTGGACAGTGGGGCAGGGATTTGGATTCGGGCTCGCATGGTAAACACAAGGTCTCTGGGGCGTTCCTGGAAGCGATTTTCCGGCGGACTCGCATGCCAAGGGGATCAAGGATTGCCAGGTAGTTGGTTACGCGATTGGTCGGCTTACGGTGGGTAGTCCACAACGGGTAGCTCTCCGATAGGGATTTCTTGAAGGGTTAAGTTGGCTCATGCAGTTGTGATTAATATGCCACAACTCAAGTGGTACTTGATTTAGTATGAATATTCCAGTAAAAAGTGACATAATTGTGACTAACAAAATGGAATGCTGGTTAATTGTAACTGTTGGTTATATATCTGAAGTCTGTAAGTTGTTTCTTAAGACACACCATGGATAACTCCCCGTTGTTTTTACTCTTCTCTTATTACAAGATAATACATAAGAAATAGAAATAATAAATAAATAAAAAAATATAAAATAAATATAAATATAAGAGAAATACAGACATTTAATTTTTTAAGAAGTAAAAGACAAACTTTGAGTTATATTTCTTGTTTAGCAAATATTCACGTAAGCCTTGAATAAGTCTTCTTCTGTGATGTGTGATATTATATACTTCTTTAATACAGGAATATCATTATAAGAATATATTCTTATTACTTCGGCTAAGACCATCTAAAATTTTGAATATTGTTTTAGGAACTTTAATCCATTGTACGTTTTTCTATTTATATATATATTATATTATATTATTATATAAATGAGAAAATTGTAAATTATCAATAAAAGTCTTCTTAATCCGATTAGGAGTATGCTTACAAATTTATTTCTTAACTGATTTATTCGACTGAGAATTTGGCGAAATTGTGGTGAAATTGCTGGGGAGAAATGTGCGAGGGATACTCGTTTCAGCCAAAGTAAAAGAAGTTTACACTTACGCGCTCGCATGCCACGAAAGCTGACAGCTGCCAGAAATGCCAGCAGTATGCTGGCAGTTCCCGGATTCCTTCCCGCCAGGAGGAGCCCTGTGCCTCGTCTTGCTCCTGCTCCTGCTCCATCTCCTTCGCCGCCTGCTCCTGGTGCCCTTCCCGCCAGGACATCTTATTGGGCGAGGGCATCTGTCGGATGTCGCACCTTGGCAGGGAACTTGGATTGCTCTGGGATTTACTTTTGGCTTTCGTATTTATTTATTTCGCAGCTAGTTAATCCAAGTTTCGCCAGCTTGAGTAGCATGTCATTTGCTGTTTGTTCTCGCTCTGTTATTTAATTATTTGCACTGCTTTTATGAAGTCTTCTCGGTTGAATTTGCATACCGCACTTGCCCCTGGGGGAGATTCTATGTAGTTGCACGAACGTGACTTTAGTCTGCAGATTTTGTTTTTATTTCGCCAAGTCGAGTCAGGCCGCAGAGAACATACAGTATGTTTTAACTTATTTCTAGCTTTATTTGGCAAAGCCAACCGCAGCAGGCAGCCAGGCTGGAGAGGCGAAAATACAAGTTGGGTCCGAGAAAAACGGAAAACCACCAAGGATTCGCTGCTGTTAGCATTCTATTTATGTGATAAATGGATATTTATCCGGCTCTGCCTTCGGGCATAAGTTTTGCCTGGCTTGATTATAAGTCAATAAATTAATGAATTGCATAGCCCCATTGCTCCTGCGATTCCACTCTCCATTAGTTTCACTTCCTCCCCTCCTGCTGAGCTCGGCAAATTTTTAATGGCTTCCTCGTTATTTTTTGTTGGCCAGAAAGTCCGTTCGCCCATAGAACTGCGTCGTCCTCCGCCAAATGAGTGCCTGAAGCCCGGCTTAGTCAGCTCATAGCTGGCAAATCGAAGTCCCCAAATAGCAAAATAAAAATCTAAAAATCCAAAATCCGGAGTCCAAATGCATTATTGCACTCTCTAATCTGGGCCGATTAGTAGGAGTTGGCTTCGCCAGCGGTAATTAGGGGAGCCAAGCAGCAAATTGATATTTATTTTCGAAGGGAGAAGTCCGGTCCATTAGCTTGGAAGGCTTTTCTAATTTACTCACAGACAGCCGAAGTTGACTGCCAAAGAAGAGTAATTATGTGTCAAAATAGAGTGTCTAATCTTGTTTTGAACTAACTAGTCATGATTATCCATACTTTTGGTCACTTAAAGTTCTACCTCAGTTTTAATATCTAAGCTTCTCCATGACAACCGAGCACTTTGTTGGTTAAGTACAAATACAAGAGATTTTCTAAGCTGATAAGTAAATTATCTAACATATTTGACTCAAACTAAATTTGAATTTCGTAAATAAATAGATCTTCTTAGCTTAAAGCATGCTCAATCCTAAGCCTATGTGATTTATGGAGCAAACAAATCATAACGATTTTATTATCCTGCAGGCAACAGAGACTCTATTTCAGTTCATTTTGGTTATATATTTATGTTCTTTAATCACATTTTCTGTAAAACAAATCCGTGTGAAATACACAGTCTGCGATTTTAATGTGAACCAAGTTCTCATCTTATTGTCCTCGGTATCTTTTACTTATTTTTTTTTCTAACACTCAAGAATAACTGAATTCCCCGAGAAGAACTTGACAGTTGTTGATACTTCACTTCTGTTGAATTCCCCTCAATTAATCAACGTTTTTTCACTTTCGGGATATATGATATTTTTGCAGAATTACTTGTCGTTGCCAAGCGAAAAATCCTTTCGCTCGTTCTTTTTTAGAACTGCTATCCGATACCCTGGCCAAGTCTGAAGCACCTGTTCCAACACCTTTATTGATTTGCCAGTATCATTGTCACCTTTTTCATTTTCCCAGCTTTCCACTGCCTATTCTTCGCCTTACTTTGTTGTCTAATGACACCAAAGACTTGGGGGATTGCCGTCTTTGCACATTAATGAGTTTTAAAATCTTTGGCAGAGCACGATTTGCGAATCCCGCGCACGTTGAGGAGGTGTCCCGGATGAGTCGCGAGAGCCGGCTGCCTCTAATCAGATTATATTTCCATATATTACATCATATGCTCATCAATATAATCGAATTGAAATACATGGGGGCCAGACAATAGCACGTGCCACCTGCGGGAGAAGGGAGGACATGATTGCGGGAATGGGGGCTGGGCTAGGTCACATCGCATCCTTCACTCCATTCACATCAGTCAAATCCTTCACGTTCTTTTTCGCTTTTTTTCGTGGATAGACGACGACGACGCAATCAACGTTTGACGGCGTTTGACTTTCGATCCTTGCCAGCCTGGCTGCCTCCTTTCGGAGCCCTGCCTTTGTATCTGTATCCGTTCTAATGCGCAGCAATTTAAAATGTGATTTTCCTTGATTTATAAAAGACACATTGCACTCACTCGCACAATCACATCCCGACCGAGGAGGAGGGGGCTACAAATGGGGTTTCTTACACTCCACTCCACTTTAGACGTTACTTATTCGGGCGGCGGACACGCCCACATCCGGTTTGGCACACATTCCCGTAAACAAAGGCCGGTCGCCAGATGATGAACCAGGATCTCAGTCTGGTTCCGAGACCGAATGTAAGTATGACGATGAGTCCTTCAAGTGCATTTAACAGTAGTATCCAAGAGTGCCCGCGCAACGATTCAAACTCATGCCTCGTTTTTGGCTTTTCCAAAATTCACCCGATTTTTCCCGCTCGACGTCCGCAGCTTAACCATTCAAATTTCTAACTGAATCGCTTCGTCCGGAGTTCGGAGCATTTCACATTTCGCAATTCGCAGGTTCCGATTCTGATGTTTAACTTCTGCCACTTGTACCCCTTCTCATGGCCGAGGTTTCATCTTCATTTCGTTCACAGCATCCCGATTATCCCGATTCCTTGGACCACAAACTTCCCCTGTATTTCGATTCCAAGCCGTCCAAGCGAATGGAAACGAACATCTGAAACACAGGGGTTGCCTGGTGTTTCGCAACATGTTCGTTCCGCTTTAGAAAGTCATCCCTTCGGACGTTCCATTTCGTTTCGTTACGTTTCCAAGCTCCTCAATAGGGGAAGTTCACTTGGGAAAATATGTGGAATCGGAACGAGGGCGACAGCAGGCTGTTCTCAGTGGAATGTTATTTGATTCTGTTAACCGATTCGGATCAACAGGCAGTTAAAACCAGTATTTAGTGTGTTTCGCTGTTCAAATTTGTCAATAGGGAAAAGATGCAATCTCTTATGAATGATTGAGACAAGAAATGTATTTCTTGCGCAGACAATAATTATTTAGGAAAACCCAACAAATATCAATAACAATAAGTGATGTAAACTGTTAAACTGTTAATTTAAATGCATTTTTAGGGCTCCTATTCATAGAAAAGTATTAAAATAATTCTAAAATGAGGTAATAATTTGTAAATAGACATTTCTCGTAACATTTTGGTCCAAAAATGAAGCAACTTATAGCTTAAGGTATGGAGCTCCTTAAACAAAGTTCTAAAATTTATTTTTATCTATGCCTTGATGTATATACATACTTCGAAGGAAATCCCCTGGTTTAAATGCTGTCACTCCTGTCAATCCTCGGCTTACTCGTTTTGCAATCGTCTCGCGAAGCAATCTTCAACCGATATCCTTTGAACAATCTCGGCATGACTACTCCCTCCCACTCTTTCGCATATTAAATTCGCATTTTCTTCCGCCATTCCGCAAACTCAATTGTATCCCCGGTCCGAGGGAACAAAGCCTTATCCTCCAGTTATAATGCACTATAGTCGTAGTGTCGGTAGGCAAGAGGTAATAAGAAACAAGTAACGACCAAATAATTGAGTGCACACTGCACAAAGGATCCTCGCGTTGCGATGGCAGTGATGTTTTTGTGATACCGCTCCCGCAACCGGCCTCCGGTCTCCGTTCACTCGAGAATTCCCCACCTTTTGCCATTGTTTGCCAACGGTTGAGCAGAAAGTGAAATGAATGTTTCATTGGCAGCGCAAAACAAAAAAATAAAACAAAAAAACTGAAATGGCAGACGAGGAAACTTAAGCCAACAAAGAGATTTTCCATACTCTGTTGAAGGGTGGCTCATATCAATTGAAAGTAAGTGAAACCTGTCAAGGCCAATGGAAGAGTAATGTTTAAACCACAATATCGTTTGGTCTTTGCCCCTAAAATTAACATTGTATAATGAATTATAATATGTTTTAATATTAAATTTTCCAGATTTTTTAGAATGAGTAAAAATATATTCCATACCTTAATATCCTAGCATATATCACTCGTAATTGTTTATTGCATTTTAAACTGTTGTATTCTGTAATAATCATTAAGATACGTTATGCAGTCATAAAATATGTTTTGAATCAATTTGAGTCAATCATCAACTCAATGGACAAAGTGAAGGTCCTGAAAATAAGCAGGGCATCGTGAGCAAGAGCAAGAGCAACAATCAAGTAGTTTTGCCAAAGCGATTTTCATATTACAAGGTAGATACAATGACTCAATGGCCGCTTGAAACCAAGGCCCGTGCAGGAGCCATTAAAAAATAAAGCACTCAAAAGAGGCAGCAAATTGAAAGGAGCAGCCGCTCAGCTCCGGTAACCGCGCCCCCACTTTCCCACCCGCCCAGCAGACATATGCACTATATGTCTGGATCATGTTCTGTTTGATTGTCGGCTGGGACTCAATTCTCAACGAGCTGCGCCGTCATTAAAAACAGTTTAAATAGGACGCGTTGCAGGCTGCGTGCACGCAGCACTATGAGTCGCTGCCTTTTATGACAGTCATATGAGCGACTTCGTCCTTCCGACTTCCGCCCATCGTCCTCGCAGCTCGTCGTCGCACCTGGTCGTAAGGGTAAGCCGGCCAAATGGCAGTGCATTCGCATTTAATTTGAACAATTGGAGCCGTGCAATTGCCATAACTTTTGATGAGGCTGCTGCCGAAATTGTGTATGCAAATTTAATTAAAACTCTTCGCCCTGCTCGTAGTTTATCATATGTACTATTTGCGGCAGGGCCAAAGCTTCCAGGATTTGCGTGCACAGCATATTTACTTGAAAGTGCATTGATTGCTTGACACAACAAAGAATGTGCATTCCGACTGCTGTTCTTGACCCCAAAGGATTGCAGGCCGAGCGAATATTCCAAATGTATATCGATCCACAAATGCCCGAACTTCTTTCAAAAAATACTACATCACCTGGGGTAAGTGTAGGAATTGCCTTAATTTAAGACTCCAATTTCTTTATTCAATGACAGTTAAAGGCCAATCCTTTCTGCATATCCTGGCTGCTACTTTTATTTTATTTCAAATTATTTTATTTTCCTGGTTGACATTCTGCTAACAAACAACTCTCAAGTGTCGGCAAGAATTTCCTTTGGTTCTGTTTGGATTTTTCTCAGGCCCTGGCAGTTGATAAAAAGTTTCTGGTACAACGCTTTTGTTGCCATGCTTGTGCCGTCCTTGTTTTTATATGCATTTTTCTCTATTTGATTTACTGGCAAGGCACGAG